TATCTCTTCGTATCCAGTAGCAAAAATACTCTCCTCAGCCTGGAATACCACTGAGGGTGAGCCGCAGTCGCTGGCTGACGGTCCAGTGGGGCCTGCTTCACCATCCCTGTTCTGGACCGGTACTAGGCATCCTAAACCTTGCACCGTACTCTTCTGCCTTCCGTTGGACATATCCTATCTGCCAGGTAGAAATATAAATAGCGTCGGAGTCGGAAAAATACCAAGAGTTGGCCTAGGGGGGCCGATAGGAAAGATGAAAGGGAGAGAGTCCCAAACAAGACAAGTTGAAACAGAATGAGGCTCAGCTAGGGTACCTCGGGTTCGCGAGGTCCGTACCCAACAGTTGTGAGCCCCCGAGGTAATATATATATATATATATATATATATATATATATATATATATATATATATATATATATATATATATATATATATATATATATATATATATATATATATATATATATAAACTTACTCAAACGATTCATAGATGTCATACTTACTGTCTAAAACCATATTTCAGTTGGAGTTCTGGAGTTCAAATTGACCCATGGAATTTTTTCCTGCTTACCGCTAAGTGGCGTGATAATCGAAGCATAGTAATGGAATATTATTATGACTTTCTGCAGGCTCAGTTGGCATCCTTAGCCGTTAGTGGTTTTGGGAACGTTGTCTGATGCCAAATGGCTAGGTGAAATGATCTGTTCGTATATGTTTTTTGCAATAAAGAGTTGTTTATTATTATGCAACAGGTATGGTAAATAGCATTTGAGTCACGAGTTTATTTGGCACGAGCGGAGCGAGTATTTAACAAACGAGTGAATTAAGAAGCTTACCAAACGTGTTGCATACTATACTTTTTCTACGAATCTTAATTTTTGGGTACATTTTTGCAAAATAACACGAATGCATTCACTGACATGACCGTCAGAATTGACGAACGTCAAAATTCAATCCGTATAGTAATATCTCCGAAAGCAGCCGACTGCTCACAAATCCGTACAGTAATAGTCCGGATTTTACCGCACGGGTTTGGGAGCAATCGGATGTTGGAGATATTTCCCACACCTTCAATTTTGACGTTTGTCAATCCTGACAGTCACTTGTTGCATAATATATTATTTTCTTATGTCTTAGGGCCTCTTGCTAATTTGTTGTGTTTTTTGTGATTTATATTGTAATTTTTTTTTCATTGTTCACTCATGAATAGATCAATTAGTTTCAGAAATGCTTATTAATAAATTATTTATAATATGTATTTGTTTAGAACGTAATTGGTAAATATTGGCACAAAATACATCTGTTTGAGGGCAACTAACTAAATTGTTTTTCTAAAATAACTTTTTTCAACAAGCTATGCAGTACATTTTATTATTTTATTTGGAAAGTTTTATGAAAAAATCGCAGGGGAAAAAAAGTTTCTGAATAAAAAACAAAATTAAAAATGCATATTTTCTAATGTCATTGCATAAGTTTCTCCTTAAATTTAGTTAAGGGAAATGATAGACGTAGTCTAATTTAATCCCCTCCACTAATTAAAAAAACCAAATGTATGCAGAAAGTGTGTTTCTATAATAGTAATATTTTCGTAATATTTTAATGTTCTATTTTTGTTTTTAAGAAACAAATTGAAACATTATTTTTCCACCATGTTTGTAGCATGATATCTCCCGAGCGGTTGTCTTTTGACCCAATGTTTATATAAGAAACTACACTTTATTTTTAACCCAGTATTTCGTGCAGTCTAAAGTGCATATTAGCAAATTTTTATTTCGTAATCGAACATGACATTTATTAAATAAAGTACACAAATTAAAATATTATAATAAGTGTTTAAAATGTTCTAGTTCTAACGGGATCCTATATATATTGAAACACTGTCGAATAATCTAATAAAATATGGCTGTTTGCGAGGCACTTATATAGTAAGTGACTTTTTAAGGTAGATTCCTTATTAAATTGCCAAAGATCTGGGTTTGACAAACTAAGCTCAGAAACGAGGTTTTTTAGTTAAGGTAGGCAACACTAATCACATCTTTAAATATACGGATATTTTTTTATAGATTTTTCTGCCATAATTATTGGTACCCAACCGTTTATAAACAAATTAATTTATTTCCAAATCAGTTTTTAATAAACTAAAAAAGCAGCAAGTGCCATTCAAAGCTGACCAAAATATAGTAAGGAGTCAAAATTGGAAAATTAAATATATATTGATGAATTTATTTCTATCTAACTAATAAGGCATTAATATTTTCATGACACTTTTGAATCAAAAAATTGTTTCTTGTTACAGAAATTACTTTTGGTGGTAGTTTAATTTTTTAAGACTTTTCAATTACTATATTCTTCTACTACACTTGCTACCTTCCTATTTTTCATATAAGAGTTAAACATTATAGTTTAAGAGCCAGTGGGCGGCTACCTACATGTATTTGACCAGACCTGGGCTTTTGTACATTAAGGCCCCTATACCTACTATACATGATGTGGGGACCCACTAAGCCAAAAGGTACTGCGCAGCTGGGACAGGTATTGATTTTTGGCGAATTTTAAATATATTTGACCACGGCTGCCGTTTTGAAATCTTTAAATATATTATTATTATCGAAAAACAATAATGACAGACCAGACAGTTTTGAAAATGCTCAAAAAATTAAAATTTTGAAAGTATTTGACCAGATCTGCCATTGGGATATATTATTCGTTATAGTCTTAAAAACTTTTATTAATACCGGCAGATGTTTTTATTGAGTACACTCCTCAGTAGATAACAAAATCCTTACTACTACCCGGACATACAATGCATATAGCTATCTTTTTTCTTTCTCCTATGTATTACTATTATACTCATTCCAGCTTATAGTATTTTATTTTATAGCTACTACCACTTAAATAATTTAGGGTTTATACCTGAGATGGCTCTGTTATAAACCCAACCTAACGGTTTTTGTCAGACGTTTTCAGTATGTTTGTGAATCTCTATACAGATGCCTCTTGTTAAATGAATTTAATAAAATACACAGCTTTATGTTATTTTTCTTTAATTAAACTATTATTCGTTAAATATCTCTGACATTATGTCTAGTGAAAAAGAACTAGTGAAGTATGGTTTTTGTACCATAGCAGAGACTGTTGACAAATTTTGAGTTTAAGAAAACATTGTAAATTAAAATAAAATGAAATAATTCTACCGGATGAAATTTTTGATTCTGTATATCACAGTAGTTGTTACAAAGCGTTTACGGCTTTAAAAAAAATTCTACCGATCTCAACAAAGAAGCTGTATTACAACCCACTACGTCGTCGTCTGCAACTGAGCAACCATCAACATTAGTTGATAGCTCAATATCTGATGATACAATAGTACTTGATAATCTTGTAAAAGACGTAAACGTTTCTGAGACGGATGAAGTCGTAGAAAAAGATATTGGCGCTGAATTAGATCAGTTATTGGAGAAAGCTTCGGATGTGAACGAAAATTTTAATAAAAAAATACACAATTTTGACGCAACCTCAATACCACCATGCAAGAATGAACTCTACCAATAACTTCTGAGAGCCCATTACATTTCAACTATTTGGAAAAACGCTTACAAAAAGCAACCTTCAGCCTTGGACCCATTGGAGTGTGGTTGGCTTGAGCAGGACAACACATTTGTCTTTAAATGGTTCGATGGAGATATCAACTTCCCTCTTTTATTAGCGACTTAATTACTAATGTTCCTGGCAAGTTGATAAAAATTAATTCTTGATCAAATATATTCGGATCAATTTACTAATTGTTTATACTTTACAATTTATGGTTTATTTTTACATCCGATTCCATGGATTATGAAGAAGAGTTAACCTACGACAAATATGACTACGACACCTTTCAAATTTTGTCTTAAATAAATTAAAAAAAAATGAAATACAGAATTGAATTGTTTTTTGTTACTTGCATTATACCCCAAGATTTCAAATTATTTCGTAATATATTTACTTCATTTATCATCAATCTTATAAAGTTTAGTATACAAAGTACAAAAAAAGTATTAATTTCTGTACATATAGTGATAAAATTAATTATAAGTGAGCTAAATTTATGTAAAACAGCGATCGTAATACATATACATCTGACCGGGTAATAGTAAAGATTTTGTTATCTAGTGAGGAGTGTACTCAATAAAAACGTCTGCCATAACGAATAATATAACTCATTGGCAGGTCTGGTCACATACTTTCAAAATTTTATTTTTTTGAGCATTTAATTTAATTAAATTTAATGTTAACCGCATGCTAATGGTCTGCCATTATTATTTTTCGATAATAATAATATCATATTTTAAAATTTCAAAACGGCAGCCGTCTCACCTGCGCAGTACCTGGGTCCGCCGCTTTGGGCTTAGTGGGTCCCCACCTCATGTATAGTAGGTATAGGGGCCTCAATGTACAAACACCCAGGTCTGGTCAAATACATGCAGGTAGCCGCCCACTGGCTCTTAGACTACTACGCATTACACATTTCACTTCAGTGAAAATCTTTATTTTGCTTTCAAGTACCATGCCGGACATAAGATACACAAAACTCTGACAACACAGCAGGAAGGCAACTGAACCTAAAATTGATCCCCAAACAGCATGACGTTGAATATACACAAGGATTCCAGTTCAACAACAAAGAGGGATGACGTCAACTAGTACCTTAAAAGAACTCGCTTGATATTCACGTGTATATTGCTGGATGCCAGCTCAGAACGTTTGTGGGTCGGATACCACCTAGATCTAGAGTAAATAGTCCTAACTGAGAGTACACAAGTGGACAATTAAAACAAACATACAAATATGCAATTTATATTAACAAGATGGTTAAATGACACTGAACCACTTTCTGTTGTTCGTCAAATGGTCAAAGGTATATTGAAATTGAAACTGCGAAATTACATCACTCGAAATACACACCGAAGCAGTAAGCAATACCAAACACATGTGCATTCTCCATTGAATAAAACGAATACCTGTCTTTCTCTGCGTCCCACAAAAATCTGCAGGTCGTGTAAACATCCTGCGAAATTTTTTCTCCGATTGTCGCAATGCATACTAATTTATACCTATAAAAAAAGTTTGATAAATAGCATATTATCTGAACAGTTCTGCTTATCAGAGTTGTTTAAAATGCTTATATTTTATTACATCTTTTTGGTATCTCTAACCGTTTTCAAGAAACGAATTATAGGATTATCAAAATTAAATTATTAAGTTATAGTACTACCAGCCACAGCCTTTTGGGTACTTCATTACTCACAGTTTGGTTTTGCCGAAATAGCACATTTCAAAAAATACCTAAAAGTGGTACCAATTGCGGAAAAATACCGTCACTACTAAAATCGTGCATTTTTTTATTGTAAGACTCGACTCTGTCTGATGTGCTGCTGAACTTTTTTTGTCTGTACATAACTTCACTAACTCGTTTTTACCTAAATATTTAAAGGAGTCTGGGAACATTTTAAACTTTTACTGTCTTAAAAATAGCCACATCCAAACGAACTGTAAGCGGCTACGTTAATTGAAAGCGAGATTTGAAATGTCCGCGCATGCGCATGTAGAATAGCTCTACATTTTTTATGGTGACTTCCATATAGCTGTTGCTGTTAATAATATATATATATATATATATATATATATATATATATATATATATATATATATATATATATATATATATATATATATATATATATACTTTTTTCTAAACAGCGATATCCACACACTTAACCCCTTTTTGCCTGAAGATTTAATTGGATCTGGGCATATATTGAGAAAATACTGCCGTAAAAAGTCGCATCCAAACTTGCCGCATGGTCATTGGTTGCAAGCATGATTTAAAATCCCGCGCATGTTGAATAGACCTAATTTTTTTTGTCATAATTGCTTCCTAAGTTCATATATTATCGGAATGTGCAGGGCCTCTAAATCTCTGGTGGCTTCAAAAGTTCTTATGTTATCAGCATAGTAGCTTGTTTAGACTAACGGCATAGAGGGAAACCCGACAAATCATTCCCAAAATGCGTAGAAATCAACCTAAATAAATATTTTTCAGAACGGTGGCCAGTTTTCTATGTTAATTATATGTGTATGAACATGATGTAATAAATAAATTAGCTTTTTATTTATTTAAACCAAGTTTGTACATTGAAAAAAATAAAAATATGTAAAAGGCGCTATTTATTTTTTCAAGCGGCTTGAAAAGTTTTAAATGAATGTGTGCAAGTGTTTCTTATTTGCGTATTTTTATTTTCAATTATTGGTTTAAAAATTGAATATATTTAATTTTCGCCAACCTGTCAAAATCCAATGCCTTAACCTTGGACCTTATAGCCATCGATGCCCACTTTGCTTGTGCAACGCATTTTTCCGGATCATAGGTCAAATTTTCCAAAGCCTCTGTTAAAACTTCTCTCAGGATTTTGTCCACTTTCTCTGGGTTAAAAGGGTTATCGGGCTCTAATCTGTATGTATTCATGTACCTGGCGACCTAAAATCCTTATGTTTTATTATACCCTCTTTATTACTTCCTGCCGATCTAATACGAAAAACATTCCGAAAACGAAATGAAAATCAATCTAAACATTTTTTGTTTTATTTTTTTATTTGATTCACGATAAAAGCAATCTCAAGACATCGCATATATATTTGAACAAATAAATAAATAGAAATCTCTTGATGTTAAAAAAGGAACCATTCAAAATGCACTACGATTTTTGAGCTTGACAAAACAACACACTTAAAACTTCCATTGAAAAAATATACAGATTTAATAAAATTTGGTTCCACTTTTTTTAAAATCCATAAGCATGCCCAACAAATCAATAACTATACAATAGCGTTTAGGAATTTATTTAATTCTAATATAAAGATCGAAACAAAATTTACCTCACTGTTATGTTGGGTTGTTGACGATGACAAACAATCATCCATAATGATAAATTAGTAAATCAGATTAAATGCTTAGATAATAATCACTGCTAAAACTACGTCTTCACAACTAGTTTATATCTAACAAACAAAAAAAATCTTACATGAAAACTTTTATAACATAAACGTTCCTAGTTCATGTCGTCGAAACAACCGCATCTTTCTAAGCCTGGCAACTGTTTAAATTTTCTATTATCTGCTTCATGACCTACATTCAAAAGGGCGTTCGATTGTAGCACACCGGCTGGCACGAGGAAATATGAAAATTGACAACGATAATGAAAAAATAATAAATAGTTATGTAACTAAACAAATCTCACAAGAATTTTTTTTTTTATTTTACAATTATTTTGGAATAAGTTAGAAATTTGTGGAGGACGCATATTTAAACATTACTTACTCCGATTTAAGCTATTATTTTATATTTATTATTATTATCTTGTTAGAAAAGAAAAAGTAAATCAAACTGAAACTATACAGTTCGTGCTGATCACACATTCCCTCCAAAATCCATATTATTATAGCATATTAGGAATCGCGGTGCTTAAAATATTTTTTACACCATAGAATTTATTAGTCTGTTCCTTGGTGGGAATAAATAGTATCTTAAAAACTACATGCCTTATCGTTTTGTTCATCTTGGTAACCAATAAAAACAACTTCTTGATCGCGGAACTAATCTCCGTGCCAAAATTAAATTAAATATAGACATAGACAAATTATATAGACATACAAAATATGAACCTTTTTGTCGTGGGTATCCCCAAAAATGTTCGCTTTTATGTCAACGATGCTACCCAGAACCATTCGGGCACGACTGCTTAACTTGCCCAGTCTTGATTTTCTCATCGTGTCTCTAGGCCTAAAAATGAAAGATCATTTTTGATAATTTTTTATCATATAGTTACCCAGTTGCACTTGCATCTCTTATTACAGTAGATTTCCTGAGCCAAGCACTTTGCCGGGTCGTCGACGAGGAGATATGTGGGGCAGTTGGCACAAAACTTTCTTGTTTTTCAATCTGAAAACCGCACCAAATAAAATACAAATAGTCATGACAGCAATTTACTAAAATGAGTAGAAGAGAAAAAATTATTTTTTTGGAAAAATAAATAAAAACGGTAATAATAAGAAAAGAGCCATAGTTTAAGCGTTTAAAGAGAGTAGTATTATATTTTTTGTCGGTATTTTACGATGGAAATGGTTTAAAATCAACGATATTCAAAAAATTCATGTTATCATAAGGACCGTGGGAAACTAAAATATTTTTGTAATTCAGAACTTTTTAAACAATTCACAACATTGAAATATACTTTCTTAAAATATTTAATATTTATAGCGAAATATATTGAGGATAATATTGATCTAATATTACAGTGCTTTAAGTAGAACAAGAAACAGTAAAAAATCAAATGATTTTGTAGCGTCCTGTAGATAATTGCACTAATTTATAATGAAATTGAACTAATTAATTCATTTAATTATTAAATATTTATTTATTTTAATGTTAATAACTATGGAATTCACACCTACATATCTGGGATGGCTATGTACGAATGAACCATCTGATCTGATCTGATAACAACCATTTACACTAAATACAGAAAATTAATGAATAAATGTATATACTTTTTAATAAAATAAGAAAGAGCAAAGAACAATACATTGCATAATATCACTAATTGGATACTTTTTTTAATGTTTGTTGTTTGTCTTTTATTGCCGTCATATTTATTACTTGCTGAAGGATCAGCGACAATAAGCCGTCGATGTGTCGCAAAGTCTGCAATCATACCTAATGATAAATACCTAAGTTGCACAACTAAAAATCATTCCAACAAATCTACAATTATAAATTATGAATCTTATTTAAGGAGATGTCGTTCATAATAATGGGATGATCGGTTGCGACGTATTTACGCTACGAAATTTTTGGAATCCAACGTAACTTTCCTCGGATTGTCTTTCGCAGACTTCATCTCTAGCGGTAAAGGAGCCCCCATTTTCAGTCTTGCATTCTCCTATAGTACGAACATTCTCGCCAACTACAAATTATAAAATTTAGAAGTTAATTATTTATTAATATTGTATCATTCCTCGATTATAACGAAAAACATCTAGGTAACACCCGCTTAAATAAACAGCGCCATATGCTATTATTTGGATTCAATTTTTTTTAAAGAAACCGATCTGAATCAGACTCTAAAATAGTAAAAAACATTTTTAACATTTTATAAGTAAAATTGTGAAAAATTCCATAACAAACATCACACAGGTTAAGATTTTTGGCGGTTAAATGGCTTTTTAAAAACTACTCGAATTCTGCTAGAATTATTTATAAACTTATCACAAATGTGCGTCCATTTCATAGTTCAGTGCATTTTGATGGACAATGTAAACAACAACATTATTTAGACTGTACCGCGAAAAGTATGACAGATACATAAAGGACTTATTTTATGATATATGGGGACTGCATGAAAAATCACAATCCCCACCACCCCTGGCATTATCTTCTTCATTGATATCTATCTTTAGCAAAAGCGACTGGACCCAGATAGTTGCAGCTACTTCAGAATTAAGGAACTGATATCCCAGAACTTTTTTCAGGAAGCCCCATTGTTGAGGTATGACTCAAATCCTTTTTCTAACGTGTTGAAAAAGATTAAAATAATTGGTTCCATTTGAATCAGAGTCTTTTTTTACCGCCAAGAGATATCACAAAAATTTGGTTGAGAAGTAGGTCATTTCGAGTGATAAATTTATTTATCTGCAAACGCTTCATCAAATTGTATAACTAGAGTTATTCCTCCAATATATCGGACGCAATGATAGAATATGACGGACGCATGAGAAGATTCAATTTTGATTCTAGGAATTTTTTATCAGTGTCAGCATATAATATGCATGCATGTAATACGATCTGAAGTAGTCCATATCATAATATAATACTCATCGTCAATATTGGTTCTTTCGACTCTTTTGAACGTGGGAACTTGGCGCACAACTTTAACTGATTCATCTCTTTTGAAAATGACACTTTCTGAATAGCGAGGTGCCATTTAGTCGCAGATTCGAGTTAAAAAGTATTACATTTACCCTGGAGTAATGTGGCACCTTCAATTTCCTTTCCTTCTGGTCGTCCGATTTCATTATCCGTATTCATAACGTGTCTGACAATACTATTTGAAATGACATAGAATTTGAACAAACGATGGTAAATGATTGGTTTGTATATAGTACAATTAAAATAAAGTAACCACAAGTCGTATATGATTTTTTTCGATATGTTTACAGTGTTTAATGGCAAATTTTATTACCAACTTAATGGTGTTGCTATATATAGCTATAATCAAACTGCGGTATTTATAAAATAACAAAAAAAAATATGTTGTGTATAAGGTGTTGCCGATCTAAGAACGACCCTTATTTTGTAAAGATAATCCATATGACATCACTTTAATCTTGATATAAAAACACTATACATATATAATCGACCTCTCCTCGCTACTATATTTTTTGTATTCATTGCTTATAATAATTGTAATTTTCAAAGATGTAAAAATTGATTTTTTGTCCCTCATATTTATACGCCTACTACACTGCCGCTGACTTAAAATCGTTATACTCGTATATATTATTTCATTATCTACACCTATTTTTTTTATATTTTTATCGTAGTATAAATTGTTGAAATATTATTTTTCTATTTTGTTTTTTTTTTTCAAAGCTGCAACCTGCATAGACATCTTCTATAGGGGTAATAAACGTTCAATTTATTTATTTAATCTAAAGTCGACTTTTGGCGAGGTTAGGTATCTTTAAGCTTATCGCAACGAAAAAAATGTTTCCGTACGTAATGCTAATGTGATATGTTAACCCTGATTTAGTTCGAATATTATCGTTTATTATTATATTAAATTTTTGACTCATCATGCCAAGGGAATGTAACTAAATCAAACTAAATGTCGAAACGCAACAAAACAATCACTTTGCCTTTTTTTTTTGTTTTAATAGTAGTATAAAGTTAAGTATAATAATAATAATATTACACTAAACCGGAAATTTAGAAAAATCGACAGGAAAATCACAAAATTGTTTGTCTCGAACTTATCGTGAACATGACGTCACTTTGAGATGTCAGACCTAACTTAAGTCACTAATTAACTCAAGTATGTTCAGGTAAGATAGCCAGCAATAGTTTGAAAACGTCAACCTTGTTATCGATAGTCGCAAACCATTTCTGATATTTCCGATACTTAGTTTTCCGTAGATTTTAGTCACGTATGATATTTTCACGTTTTTTAGTTCTGATGGTCAAGTCACACATCACTCAGTTATCATAAAAAAGTATAGTACGCCAACACGTTGATTAACTTCCGCCAATAGTCAATAAATCGTAGATATATAACTCTCCAATACAAACTTAACTTAGCTAAGCAAAACAGGATGTGTGAGGTATTACCTTTAATTTAAATATTTGGTACTAGTTAGTTATTGCTTTGCAGTAGAAATTTTGACGTAATTGCTCGGGCTGAATTAGCGGAAATAAATGGTCAATGTAATTTTATTACACTTTGGTTCGCGGACCATGTCCCGTTTCCGTATTCTCTCCCCGCTTGGACGACATTATAAAAGGTGATAGATACTAGTCTGTGCAAATATTAGTATTCTGTGCTATATATTTCCGTTGAGTTCGAAAATAAAAATTTTAATATTAAAAGTAATAAAATTAAAATTAATGGAAATTCAAGAAGAATTTAGAAAGTGGCTTCGTAAGATGGGCTATAATGGGGAAATACCTAACGGATTAATAAGGTTAATTGAAATTATGTTTTTACGTTGTCTGATTTTGACCACATTTTTTACAGTGTTTGCAACAACTCCACTTATTTTATTTGGGAACAGCTTCTACAAAACGTGAAACCAAAGCAAGAGGTTGAGCATATCAGAAGAAACATTGTCTTGAATCGCTTACAACAAAAAAGTTTGGATAGACAGGTTTGACGCCCGAGCTAGTTAAATAAAGCACATTGGTGCATGTCATGTCTCATATTTCAGGATGATTTTTTATATAAATCTAATGAAATAGACTGCTTTAGGAGGAAACAAAAACTAGAACAACAAGCAAAGGTGATTAAAGAGGCGATAAATGAAAAACAAAATAAACTTGCAATAGTGTCCCAGCATTATAAACTACAAAGTAAGTTTAATTGAAATATTAGCATTATTATAAAATATTTTTTTATATAGGTGCGTCCATAAATTTTTTGAAACAAAAAATCAGTGAAAATGAACAAAGAGAATTTATTTTGTTATTGAAGGAAAAGGATTTAAACAGAAGATTGCAACAAGCTGAAGAGTTATCCGTTAATATAACTGTCACCCCTGTTGAAGTGGAACAAACTGTGGATTCCCAGCATGTAAAAGTAGGTTCAAATATAATTGAAATAGAATTTATCTTGGTATGATTCATTTCTTTGTGACTTTAGAGTCATTTTTAATATCCCTTTAAAAAATGTATTTCTAATCTGTTCATTTTTAATTAATTATTTAAAAACTTAATTTCAGGAACTATTAGAAACATGTGCCAAGAAATTAAAAAAAAATGTTACCGAAGAATTTAATAAATCAATACAGTATCAAAAGAGTTTTGTACAATCTACACAATCATACTCAAAGAAAAAAATGCCTAATATTTCATCTTTAGAAACTTACATTGACAGGCAAGGGAAGGATCACTTTGAACAACTTCGGTTTAGCACTAAAAAGCACACATGCCAAGAAGACGAAAATATTGCAGTAATTGGTAAACATCATCGGTCTATTAATGTAGAATTGTTTAAGACACCAAAGATTATTATAAAAAAGGGGGGAGACCAAACCTTAACTCATTGCCCAACAAATTCAAGTCCTGCAATAACGGCAGTTGAAAAGCGAGAATCATTGGGGATTCTTCATGAATCTTACCTTACAGAAGTAGATGATGAATTATTACAGAACAGTCATGCACCATCAGTTGAGGATGTGTTCCTACCATTATCAACATTTAAAGATGAAGTTAGCCGTGACTCATCAATTACACATCATAATACTCAACCAGCTTTTAAGCAATATGAATTGAAAAGAATACTCTATAGTGATACATTTGTAAATGATAACCTGCTCAAATTGCAAAACAGCTGCAATAAAGAGATTCTTTATACCATTTTGCAGAAGGTCATGGATGAAACTAAAATAGAACTCACAAAAATGCTTTTAGGCAATAGAAGTTTGGATGCCAGGTTTGAATTACTCATTTTATTAATTATTGAATCATTATCAGTCAAATTTCATGAATTTGTTCATCAAGATACAATAATCTAGCTATATATCTTCTTTCAGAAAGAAAACGATCAGTGAAGATGATATAACAAAATTGTTCTATATTCATGTTCAAACTGAAATAAAAATAATAAAACAAAAAAATGTTATTAAGGATTTGTTGAGAAAAAGCACAGGATCAAAATTTATGTTGTTGGTAAGAACAATTTTTAACAATATTTGTGCTTAAAAAAATCAATGTGTAAATATAATTTCTTTAACTATAAAAAATATTTTTCTTGCAAAAACCTTATTTACAGAATGCAATAAAATCCAAACCAAACTTACATGAAATACAGGAATGGCTTGACATGAATATTCAACAAGTTGGGTTGGAAGCTTCTTTAGTTGCATTGAGAAAAGAAATTGAATCTGTAAACATTATGACTGACTCTAATGACCTACAGATTATTAGCATGAAAATAAGCAAAACTAAAGATGAACTGGTAAGTGTACCAATAAATGCTTTTAAAATTGTATATTAACATGTGAAAATTTTGTCACCTATAATTTTCAGGCCAACAAAATAGTTGAGATAAATTTTTTTATAGAAGAAATGTACAAACTGGAGAAATTAATTTGTACTTCTCTTGAACAAGCTATGAACTCAATCTGGGATTTAAGATTATACAAAAATGATATGTTTTGGGTAAAACCTTTGAGCGACGCACTGTGGTCAACAGAGGTAAAGTTATCAGAGTCCTTTCCATTGGAATATCAGAGGAGATGCACTTATTCGTATGTTTCCAATTGTGGATTTTTGAATAAAAAAAGTTAATATAATTTTTTTAGAGATCCAAAAACCTTCTATAGAGATTTGTGTATTGATAATTATGCCTCAGATATTGAGGTAAGCATGGAAGTATTCCAAATGATTACTGCAATAATAGACAGTCCATTTAATCCTCCAGAAACTGTTTTACTAAGCGTTATAAAATCCAAAATAAAATTAGAAAAACTCAATTCACTAAGAAAAATGAAGAAATGGAAAAACCAATGTCTCCTACAAGCAAGTAAGAAAATTAATATCTTTCCCATCTTACTTAGCAATGCGTGTTTTAAGATTTGTTGTATTTTATTTACTGAATCCACTTTAACTACAGACAACAAACATTTTTAATTTTAGATTCCCTTGAAGAAGTTGAACGGCAGGAAAGTTATGTTAATTATGCTCTAGAGAAACTGCAGTCAATAATTTACTCCAAAAGTGCTTGTGATACCTTGTCCACAGGAGATGTCATAAAGAAGTACATAGACATATGGACTGAAATGCCAATGAAGAATTTTATATCCCCAAAGAGGCTTCTAAATGGTCAATCTTATCATTTTTATGAAAAAAAACTTAAGACTTTCTGTATATCATAATTTTGCAGTTATTTATTTTGTCAAGGAAGATTCAAAACTTGCACATATTTTTTTTATATAAAAATTTTGTTACATTGTTGTAAATACAAACCACACATCTAATGAATAAAAATAATAACTTAATGTCTTCGACTCTTCTTTTTATTTTTTTTCGGTCCTTTTACAAAGCACCAGTCAACTCCAATTGTTTGACCTAGAAGTGTTGATCCATTTAAGGCCTCTCTAGCAGCTGCAGCTTCTTCATATGATTCATATTCAATTAATGCATAGCCTTTAAGAAAACCTGTTCTTCGGTCCAAATTAATACTGATATTCTTTATAGGACCAAACTCCGAAAATTTTTCCATTAAATCATCCTCACTTGCTTCTTCATGTACAGAGGTTACAAATAATATCCAACCTTCAACGGATTTTTGAGGACCCGGCTCGTCACCATCACCAGCGTCTATAGAGTCATATCCGCGAACTTTTTCATGTTCTCTCGACTCTCCTGGACCAAAGCCTCTCCCTTTACGCTTAACTACTTTATCCTTCAAACGCATCACACTTTGATCGCCTTCATCTTCTACATCTATATCGACACCTTCATTAATATCCAATACATCACCCATAATTATTTTTTTATAAGAATGAAGCCCCAAACTAAGTTCAAACTAGTAACAGCATTGTTCGATTAATCAAGAAACCCAAAGAATAAAACTTGTATAAATAACAAGCATAGATCAGTAAAAACTACAATCAAGTACTGTAATGGGATAGTTAGAATGGCAATTTATTTCTGCCTCTGGGGTGAGTCGAAATTGGCAAGAGCAGTGGTTATGATCCGTAATACTTTTTTTACTTTAAGTACCTAAAGCCGCATATTCACATGTGAGCTTGTACGGCTGATTTGTCTGACAAGCAAAACTGCGGATGAAAGTGTGTATACCCGCGTTCTAGCAGAATTTGTTTTACTCGCCGAAATGTTATTGGTTTATACAAATCGGATCGTTTGCTTTGGAAGGTAAAGAAATAAACTCCATGATGCTTTTTAACACAATTACACAGCAGATTTGCGATTGATGTTTGCCTGTGATGAATTTGATTGATGTGCATATACTCTCGTGTATAGCAACCATAGATCTGTCTTCTCGACAAATCCAAGGTTCAAACTCGCATGCAAATAGACCGCTTAACTCTCCTCTGTTCACCGTATGTCGAGCACAATTATATTCTTTTGTTGTTCGATGGCTCTGTAAAACGTATTAAGTAAAAGAATATTATCTGGAAAGTAATAATCCCAGTGAGAAACACTAGATTTGGTGGGTTAACCACACTGTGTAACAGCATCGGTCTAATTTTATTTATTAATTTATCTTGCTTTTAGTGCATAAGTATTAATAGGGTCGTTTTATCTCCAAATTGTCCTAAGTGCGTGAGTGCACCAAGAGTTTTTTGTTTCGAATCCTACCTTAACCATGGATGTTAAACTGAAAATGTATTTTTATAACATTTTTCAAAAAGAAAACGATTCGTCTTGGCAAATTGCTTTAGGAGCAACTCCAAAAATGTGTAGAGTAAATGCAAACTTTTCGTCAAAAAAAGCATAGTTGAATTTTTATTCGCAACATTCAGTGTTGCCAAATCTTAAATGATTGCTAAGATGACAACCAATAAATTATATATTCCTCGAGGGATGTTGACAGTTCTAGTAATTTGGAGGATTTTTAGTTAGTAAACGCAATAAAGATGAAACTGTAGACGGTTGCGGCGAGTAAATTAGGAGGCGCACCTTTTTTATCAATTTTTCATAAACTTAAGAAATAAAAACTATAAATACGAACTGGTAGATATTTCGGCAAGGCATGTAATTCAATAGCCCTGGGTCAAGTTTTTGACGCCAATCGTCTGCCCAGTAACACAAATTGTTTCTAGTCGGTCCCCGGGCTACCTGCAGAATCTGATGTTTCTCGGGAGAAAAGGAGAACTACTTATGTGCCTGAAACTGAATTTTTCACACTTTGACTGAAATGTCAAAAATGGGCGAATGATCGTAGTGACTATGACTACCAAGTTAAGTGATACGTATTATTCAATAGGCTTCCTCGTTTTATTACATACTCTCTTGGACTAAAAATCCTCCGTTCATTCTGTAGGACAGTTTAAAAGTTTTTGTGACGAGTTTTGTAAGAAGCTATGAGTTAGTTGTTTATTTGTGCTCATGTTAATTTCGTTTAAAATATTCCAAATAATATGAATGCTCAAGAAATTTTAATGGACGTGGACGATACTAAATCAAGCAACTCTGATTCTACTGAAGATGGCGATAGTTCCGAAGAGCAGGTTATTGCTCAAATTTTTAATTTATGAAGACACCAATGATTTGTTTTTAGGAGCTGGTAGAAAAAGCCAAAGAACTTCAAGCCAAATTGTCAGAGAATAATTATCTTTACAATGTTCATATTGAATTAATAGATATTTATAGGAAGCTGGGAGACCTAGCTTTGCTTAGAGTATCATATGAACAGTTTTATGAATGTTATCCTCTGACTCCAACATTATGGCTTGATTGGATTAAAGACGAAATTAAAATAGCTAGTACACCAGATCAGAAGATGGAAATATTTAAATTATTTGATAAAGCTACAGAAGATTATTTGTGTAAGCTTTATTAATATATAACAATAAATAGTTGTTCAGAACTTGAAAATATTTTCAGCTGTAGATTTGTGGATTGAATATGCCCAATTTTCAATTGGAGTAAGTGACTTAAACACTACAAGATCTATTTTTGAGAGAGGTCTTACAGCAGCTGGCTTAGTGTGTGACAAGGGTTCATTACTGTGGGATACATTAAGAGAGCTTGAGCATGCCCATATTGGATTACACCTTGAAGGCTCTGAGGCTTGGAAAATGCAAGTTTTAAAATTGGCTGATGTCTTCAAGAGACAGTTGTCCGTACCATTACTGTGCATGGAAAATACATATATGGAGTGGCAAGAATGGTGCAAGACCTTACCAACGGGATTAATTGACCCAAATCCTGTAAGGGAATCACAGTTCAGTTTTGTGGCTTTTGCAAATATTTGCTTGACTAAAAAAATGAAATTGTTTTTTTTTGTGTGGACAGTATACAAAAAAAATACTTGCATTTTGTAGATAACCATTTACATTTATCTGGTCGGCATTTAAAATAAAAGTCTTTCGAACTTGGCACCATTTGCAATTTTATGGTTATTTTGGATGTATAAAAAAATGGCATTTACTGAAAACAAAGTTTAAAAAATGTCAACTAAACAAAGCAAATTATTTTATTACGTACATAAAAACTGATAGATTAGCTGATTTCTATTAAAACTAGAAATCATTTTTGACATTAAATTTTTTTTTTACACATTTTTTTTTATAAACCTACCATTAGAGTTTTCTCCTATTTTGTTTAACACGCATATTGTTTCAGGTTGAATATGGTTATAAAAAGGCCAAAAATCTCTTAGAAACATATAAACCTTTTGAAGATGGCATCTCATCATGTGACACATCTGAGAGTCTCTTTAAATTGTATAAAGAATACATAAAAGCAGTTACAGATCCTTCAACTGTGATTTGTTTATATGAAAGAGCAGCACTTCAGCTTTGTCTGAATGCAGACTTTTGGTTTGAATATTGCATGTTTTCACTGAAGCTGGGTGATTTGGCCTATAAAGTTAGTGCTAAAGCACTAAGAAATTGTCCATGGAGCGAGGACCTCTGGATTACTAGGATGAGAGTTTTGGAATCCATTAAGGAGACTGATGATAATGTAATGAACTGTTTTGAACAAGGTATTTTTATTGTACATGTTTACAAGTTTTCTTTTAAAATAAAATTGTTCTTTTTTAGGACTCTCCAGTATCGCACCGTCACCTGGATTGAACCTTTGGCTTGCATATTTGGAATATGTTCATAGAGTTGTAGGGTCACCAGAGAAACTTGATAAACTTTTTCATCAATCAATAGAACAGCTCGGTTTCCACAATGACCCATCATGTAAAGTCAGAAAATGGTTTGGCAGAATTTTAGCACATAGAGGTGATATAAAAGCTGCCCGAAAGATTTGGGGTAGCATTATGTCCAAACCAGAAAATAAAGGTAAATAATGTCTAGCAAATTTTAAAACAGGATAAATTTTCACCAGTATCTCTTATCTTATTTTAAATTGTAAAAAACAAATAGCAAGAATAAATTCTAAATTTGATCCTTCAAAAACTTATCTTTAAATTTAAATTATAAACAAATTGGTATTTTTAACTTAACTGAGAGCAGATAATCAAATAGAGAAAACATTTTTAAAACAAGGAGTAAAATAAAAAGGCAACATTATCTTACCTATGTTTTAAATGATCTATCTTTTGTTACTCATTGTCACGGTTAGTAAACATATCCATAATCTATTTAGGTTCCGCATTGTTATGGTTAGAATACACACAAATTGAGCGTCAGTATGGTGAACAGCATGTGCTCAGACAGCTATTTCAGAAAGCACTGAACTCCACTAAAGACTGGCCGCAGTACATCATGGATGAATGGCTTTTATATGAAAGACATTTTGGAACCCTGGAGGAGGTTTTAAATTGTGTACAAAAGTGCAGGGAGGTTAATATTGCAGTTCTCGATATGTACAAAGCTCAGGAACAACAAGTAGAGAAAGAAGCAGACAAAGTTGAATCTCAAGGTAGAGGTAGAAAAAGATGCCTCAATGCAGGGGACAACCATGAAAAGGTAGGGAAAAAAAATAAATGGAAAGAAGATAAAAAGCAAGAAACTCATCAAGTGACAAAAAAGCACATACCAGTGGATAGGAATCCGGAGAGGTCAGTATTTGTGAGTAACATACATGTAACGGTAGACGAGTCTAGTCTGAAATCCCTGTTTCCAAATGCTGTAAATATCGAGATTGTCCGTGACAAACATGGAAAATCCAAATGTTTTGCTTATGTTGAATTTAATACACAGGAAGAGGTTATGGTTGCTCTTGCTAGAGACCGTGAGCCACTAAACGGACGACCTGTTTTTATATCGGAAATAAAGAGCGACAAAACTAGTAGAAAACCTATTTTTAAATATGCGCGAACCGCCGAAAATAATAAACTGTTCGTCAAGGGACTTCCCTCTGATATATCCTTAGAAAAAGTCAGAGAACTATTTAAAAAACATGGAGCTAAAGAAACGAGAATGGCATATCGGAAAAGCGGACAGCCAAAGGGCATTGCTTATGTAGAATTTGAAAACGCAGAACAAGCCGAGAATGCTTTAAAAGAAACCAATCAAAAAAATGTAAATGGTCACATTATTACAGTAGCTATTAGCGCTCCGCCTCTTAAAGCAAGTTCGTCCAAAGAAAAAACTGCGACGATTAGACATGCCCGAAGTCGTTTAGAAGTAAACCTAATTCCGAGAGCTTTGCAGTTAAAGCGCGCACAAACAAATGACGAGACAAACAAAAGTAATGAATGCTCGTTACCCTTACCAAAGAGCAACTGCGACTTCAGAGATATGTTGTTAAAGAAACAAAGTTCAAAATAAAGATTGTATACTTATTGTTCAAACTTTAAAAGTTTAAAAATGTAAAAAACTCTATTGTCTATTAAAAATACCTCATTTATTGTTATGGTTAGCATATAATTATTAGATAATATAGGTAAAAATTGATGCGCGGCAGGCGGCATTGATGTTTACTCATTTTCTCAGAATATTTAACGAGATCTACGCATATTTTGAAAAAAACGCCACACCTAAACTTGCTGATGATCTGTCAGCGGTCCTTGCTTATTGAATGCCGGAAGGTCATTGGTTAAAATCAAGATTTTAAATCTCACGTACGCTTATGTTGAATGGACAATCTCATTATTTTTTGATATTTTCTTCATAAGTTCTTGTATTATAGGCATAAGCAGAGGTTCTATATGCATCTCTAGCAGCTATATGATGCTTAGTGACAATAGACCAATGCTATACAATTTTTGTTTAAATCATTAAGTGTGTCCACACCTAGTAAATCAAAGCGAGATTATATTTAATTATATATATATATAATAAAATTAATTATAATAATGATATTTATATATTAATATAAAATTTATACAGAAAAATGAAGTAAAAGTTGGGGAACTGCGAGGGGTCGGTATTGGTATATTCTCCATTAGGAAACGGTTTCTGCTATCTTCACATTATGCATCTTTGACCTGGACGAGAACACATCTACCAATTGAAAAAATCTACAGCAACAGGGCTCCCCACTAGACAAGAGTTTTGATAAGAAAAGAAACAACCTACCACTCTAAATATCTTATATTTAAAGATTTAACTCTGCGCATGTTGGAGTAAATCTCTTACGCGCTTTTACTATCTTCATATTCCTGTAAGGCAGTAGCATGACAAACCTTAGCTTCAGATGATCACTTGTGTGCTTGAAACATGTATTGACGTCTTTTCTATTTAAAAAAAAAAAGGATTTTACAATAGACTTGGTTTAATATTATTTTTCCAAAAAAGAATCATCTCTGATGATTCTTTTAATTAGCAAATAAAAAATATTTATTCAAACTAAATTAGGCCTGAATAAAAATAGAGGGAATAAAAATGTTGGTGCTAGGTTAAATAAAAAGCTAAATAAATTGATAGAAATGTCAAAGTTCATTTTATTAACATGTCCCTACTTCAAACAGCTTTGAGCATAATGGACTGCCATCACAGAAAAGGATACAAATTTAAATAATTACATTGCTGTTTTGTCTTTAAATAAAAAAAATCGGTGGTAAAGATATGATAACCATTTTGTGCGGAAATAAAGAGTTGTACTAAAACAAAGCAAAACTTTATTAAACTATTAAATAATACTATACAAAACAGTTATCTTGAACTCCTTAATAATGACAATTTACCTTACAAAAATACATTACAAATTTAGATGCAAATTCTCTTGACATATGACATCAAAAGCATTAATGTTTAACATTTTGTACCAGATTTTGAGCAATTAATTGGACCGAATAGTATTTTAAAAAACTAAACCATTTTTAGAGTTTCTTTTTTAGTCAAACCAGTTGAACATCAAAATTAATCTGATCCAGCACAAAACAAATGTATGTATTCTTTTTTTAAAACAAAATTTGTGGAAATGCACTTAATTTTATTATTATTTAAAAAAAGTATTCAAGATTGAAATTCACTAAAAATAAATGTCCTAACTGAAGTATATAAATGAGTAAAAAAAATGCTGAATAATATTATGTTGAACGAGATTCAATGTGCAAAATATAAACATTTTTTTTAAATGAAAAAATCCAAAAAAAATTGACACATGATTAACTTTAATAAAATAAACGCTAAAGTTTTTGGATATCACTTAATTGTGTTAGTTTTCAATCAAGTAAAGTCAGCTTTCACTTTAAAAAAAAAAACGAGTGCGAAAATTATTTTCAAAAAAATCCATCTGTGCTTGCTAAAAATTAGAAACTGTCAGTGGTGTGTGATGATAAAAATGTAACATATCCTTCAGACACTGCCCATTTATTATTACCACAGCCCCCACAAAAATCATTTAAACATAGTTTGAATTTTTTAAAATACTAATATTTTTATGGCTCTTCTTCAAAACAATAACTGCAAGAGCATATTTCTGGAAATAAACAAATATTTGTTAAATAAAGATCTATGAATTTCCCACACTATAGTTATTGTTAACTGACCAATGACAAATGAAACTTATTAGAACTAAATACTAAATTGTAGAGAATAACTGGAAAGAACACAACTAATTTCCAGAATAGTTTTTGATACTCAAAATTCAATGCAAAATTTGGTTAAATACTGGATTAATATTTCACCCAATAGACTATAGCAATAAAAATCAATAATCTAAACATTTTGAAAAAATGTTGTCAAAGTATATAACCAAACCTTACTGAGTTGATAACACACCACTATTAAATACAAAAAAAAGAACGCAAACCAGAGTTGAACATTCAGTAGTTACTCAAGGCACAATGGTTGACAGAAGACTTGATTGACTGTCTCACCCCTGAACATGGTTACGTTCGAAGATTGTCGTCAACTTGTTCTTGCTCTCTTTCTCGCACAGCCATCGCGGTCTCTACCAAGAGATGCAAAAATTTAAACTTGTCTTTTTCTTCTGCTTCGGCCACAGCTTCTTGCTTTAGGCCTTGTACAACTCGCACTTTTTTAGATGATCCATTACTTGCCTGGTGAGGAATCATTTGTTCCACAGCTCTAGAAAAAGAAAATATTATAATATTATGAATCAACTTTTATTTATCGGAATCAACTATAAATTATATATTTATAGTGAAATCACAAGGGGGGAAAACGGTCTTGTGAGTTTTTTAGTTATATTACGATTTTGTATTTTTCATATATTAAGGGAAAGTTAGTTGATTAATTTTTCTTACCATAAAATTTCGCACATTGCATGTCATATATTATACTTATATAGCTGAGCAGCTAACGAAGTTTATCAATGTATTACATAATATACTCCTTCTATGATCATTAAGTTTTGGTGACATTTTTACAAAAAAGCATGAATATATTCACTGACCTTCAATGGCTACAATCTATCTAAAATTGCTTACTGGTACAAAGTATTAATGAAATTGACATCTTAAAGTGACGCTTGATAACTAGGTATTTCAGAACAGGGAGTGAAAAGTTTTTTAATTCTTCAAATAATCTTATTGAAAACAACTTAATATTTCAGGTTTTCATATCTTATCACTACTTGAATTTCACTTTCAGAGATATCCTTAAATTATTTTCCAATACATATGAAAACCAAAAAAGGAAAAGAAACCATGCTAAATATTAATTGTTTTAAGAAATGTTAATTTATAGAGATAAGCTGTAATATCAAGCACATGTTTTATAAAATAGGGAATACAAACCCTCTATTGGCAGGATGGGTAGCAATTTCATTTACTGCTCCATATCTAATGACGGTCGGCCAAGGGTTAAATTTCTCTTCCTCACTAGGACTCGAGCTTTCATATTCATTTGTGCTATCTTCTTCAGATCGATACATTAATGTCATGTGATCATCATAATCATGATCTAAACGAACTCTTTTACCACCAATATCAAAATCTTCTTCCCAAACATGCCGAACTTGATCAGAAGGTAAACCCTGTGATCCTGACAGCTTCTTACCTGGCAATGGATATAGAAAAATAAATAATCAGAAGTCTGGAGCCAACATTTTTTGTGTTGCATAATAATATATCATACACAAAACTCTTTTTTGATATTGATTTGTGAAAATACACTGATGTTAAAAAAACCTGAACATAGATGCTAAGCCCAACATATAACTGTCAAATGTTACCAAATATTACTTGGAGTAGCCTTTTGATGGTTGATGATGAACATGATTGATTCTTACAATATGTTCCTAACTATATCAGTGTCATCATCAACAAGTGCAACAGCTTTTGCTCAATTCTTAAAATCATAACAGTAGTAGAGAATGTATGACCTGAAGCAATATGTCATTAAACTCACATTAGGGCAACAGCGAGCAAGGCCTCCTCATAATAAAAATAAATTTCGGTTAGTACTGACATGTTTATTTTACTCTTAAAAATGAACCCTCCACATACAGATATGAACTAAAAAAACAAACAATAGAAAATGAATGGTTCTTAAGGAATATTGATTGACTTAAAAAAATTATTATCCACAGGGTGTTTTAAAATTAAAGTCATAAAGCAACCATTCAATTAACACAGTGTAATTTATGAATCGACCAAATATGTCACTTTATCTAAAGTTTGTTAAAAATTTCATGAAAATCAGTTTAAAAAAATAAAAAAACTTGTGATTCCTCAAATTTTACTCAAAAACTATTGCAGTTTTAGTGTAATTTAAGTTTATGTTTACTTTTTTTACTGATCTATTTAATTATTGAATAGAGCCTGTTTTGTAGAAATTTTGCATTTGAAAATGGAAAATTTAGTTAAAGTAGAGATAATCCTAAGTAGTAGCATCATATACATACACACATACACTGTCAATGTAAGAAAGTACATGTTCTAAAGAGCACTAAAAAAATTAATAACAAGGCAATCAAAAATCCTCAAATTAAAAAAAAAATCTATTATAAGCAAAATTAAAGGGGAAATCTGCTTGTGGAAAATAAAAGTTATAGTCTGTTCTACTTAACACCGGAACAAAATCAATATTAAAAGTCTTAATACTACACTCATCCTTACCTCTGCGTGAAATTGTATACTGCAATGGATCATGTCCCTCCCGGCGAATCATTTCTGGCAGAATCCGGCGCCTGGCATTAATAAACCAATTGCACACCTGCAATATGGTTAAGTTGGCTTCTTGAGATAATGTTGCTTTTTCAGCATCACTTGGGTAGGCATTGTAGCTGCAAGAAATGGCAATAATAAATAACTGAAAATAATTTTGAAATTTTAAACTAATCAAATTTGACTACAACATATACATACTTATACCATTTTTTTAAAACAAATAAATAAAGAAATATCATAGTGCTACTAATGTTTTTAATTTTTAATTTTAAAATTGTGATAAAAAAATAAAATAACAAACCGATGTTCATATAGCCACCGTTTAAGAATCTTCACCGAATGCTTTGGCAAATTTCCGCGCCTTTTGCGACTTGTTTCCATGGGGCTTAGCACATGTCCTGCTATATCACCCAAATTAGCCATGGCATCCATGTGCCTCTGCTGTAGCTGATGATCCTCATGTTCATCAGATGCAGAATCATTGTCATCAGTGCTACTGCTGGACTGAAACCTTTCACGATCTAAAAAATATATATTTATTATCTCCAGTTTATTTCCACACATTTAACCAATTTTAATTACATACAAACAATCCAATACCACTTGTATTGATAAAATACGGCATTTTTGTAATAACACCATAACAACAAGGACCAGAAATTACATAATGTAAACAAATAGGCAAATTAAGCAACTTGAAAACAACAACATAAAACACGTTTTCCTGACATATTGTTGACACTTGACAGAAATGGCTCCCTCGTGGTGAAAAAAAAATCCCGCTAAAACTTTTTCCAGGATATATGACTTATTAGGGTATTTGTAATGAAAGAAAAATAAAATTTGGAGAGTGGAAAGTTTTTTTTGATGCTCTATTGTTTACTTTGAATCGTACTTACGGGCTTTCATTTTCATGCTGACAAGACGAACGTCAAAAATTCAACTTAGTTTTTACGTAATAAACACGAGTTTAACTTTGTAAATGATACAAAAATAATTAAGACGAGTACACTTTGAAATTAGGACGTCAGTTTAATATAAACGCCATCTGAGCGCAAAAAGTAAGTGTATATCAATTGTTCTGCTAGTATTTCCGAATCGGCATGTCAAGTTTAAAAGTTTGAATGCTAATGAAATTAGGACTGATTCACACAATTCCCACGCTAATTGACACTAATAATATAATCACAACACTCCCGATTTAAAAAAACATCGAAAATTAAAAAGGAAATACTAATAACACATTTAAAACGATCAAACACAGTCACGCGTGCTTTTAGTTGACAGTTTATGGCGGTCAAACAAAATTTGACAATCGGCTTCCTTTGCTTAACTCATATTTGCGCAGGCGTCACGAATTTCAAATAATTTCATTTCCGATACAATCCCGCGAAAATTTGAATATTATTCACTTTTCTGTATAATCTTCTGAATTCAACATTTAGTTCATTGTTATTTCAGTTCATATTTTTAGTTTGACTTTTTAAAAATTAGGTATGCTGCTGCCGCTTGCGCTGACAGTTCTACGCGAAACCAATAGCAATTCAGGGAGTTTTAAACTAATCCCCAAGGATGCTAAACATAAAGCGCCGTGTACTAGAACTTTAGATCCAAAAGTAATTAGCTACAATCCTTAGAGCACAATGGGCCTATTAAGTGTTGGGTTGTAAACTACCCTGCTTTGCTTATAGGTACATATTTGAGTTTAAGTTAATTTGAAAACAAGTTTTTTAATTTCTAAAATACTTGATTCTCCTACACAAATAACACGAAGAGCATAGGCGACGTCACTGCAAATGCAAGACTGACGGTAGCACTAATTAAGCTTGATTTGTAAATAAGGTTCGACATGATTAATGGAGGTGTGTTTTTTTTTTCAATAATTTAACACTTTTTGGAACACTAGCAACTACCATTCTGGCACCTTTTAGTTTTTTATTTAAATTGTCACATTTTAATTTATACTTTTTAGTCAGTTAGGAATGATTTTGATTTTGCTGTTTTTCCTTTCTTATTTCAATGACATATTAAGCTGCATTAAAAAATACAGGTTTAAGAAGATTGATTTTTTCACAAAAATTTAAAAATCTTACTAAATGTCACTATAATATTAAACAAGTCATACCAATTCTAAAATATATTAATATAATTATGGGACAGCCAAACAATTCTCAAGAGAATTGAAATTATTTAGATATTTGATTATAAAAAATCATAGCCTTCCTAGATTGTATTTACTGCTGCATAAAATTACTGATTTTATTGTGATCCTGATTTTTATACTGAAATTATAATGGAATATTATAATTGAGAGTAATTAGCCAATAAAATGTTTATTTCCTTTTCACAGATTGGTGCTACTGTCTAATGTTTCTAACATCAAATTTCTTACATTATTTATATATTATATACTACTAAAACTATCTAACACAGGAAGAAATGCATATTTTTTGGGGTTCAAAGGTGGCACATATTGTTTCTGCAATGGTTTTGATAGATTTACTTCTTCAATATGTTCAAATAATTTTACAGGTCTAACAGAACCAAAGAAATCTGTTATTGGGACCATACCGGGATTTCTTGAAAATAGGTCTTTTCTTACACCCACAGTTGAGATGCAAGCACTCTTCGGACATACTTTCAACTAAAAATAACAGGTTATATAATTCACAAGCATTTTTTAAACTTACAAATTCTGCCATGGATCGATTACTTTGAGGATCTAGTTTCTCCAAAAATTCTAAGGCATAATAAGTATATCTGTCTATTATGTATACTCCTATAGCAGGATCAACATGATGCTAAAACAATTTGGAGTGAAAAACATTAATAACAAATTATGAAATTAACTTACTGAAAGTGAGTCCTCACCAACCATGCTACTGCCAACTGCCAAAATATTTGGGGAGTAGAATCTTTCATACATGGAAGCTGCCTGACAGGTGTCTATCATAAAGAATACCTCATGGTATCTAAAATACAAATCACAACCATGAAGCATTAATGTCTACCATAGGAAATTATTTTTCTAAATTTTAATTGATTATGGTAATGACTTTTTTAGTTGAACAAATTATGCAGGGTGGTCCGAATTATAATAGAGAAACTCTAATATCCTTGTCCTAAAATGCTTCATTTTTGAGATATTTTAAAAAAATCTCTTCTAGATTTCACTGTCAAACATGATAGGTATTATTGCCAATTAAAAATACATTCATAGCATAGATAAATAATAACTACCAAGTTTGAAAACAACATCTAAGAGATTTTTTAAAATATTAAAAAACCTTTTTTTTTTGCAATATTTCAACACCAAAATGAACCATTTTCGGACACGAGTTTAAATGAAAATTTTTATTTATTTTTATCTGCTGAATACACTGTTTTTCCATTAAAATTCAGACCATCCTGTGTTACCTCTGCTTTTGCCACATTTGTTCTAAGGCATCTGCCATTTCCTGACTTGTAATTTCCTCTGAATCTTGAAATTTAAGAAATCCATCTCCACCATGTCCTGTTAAATATATCAAAACATTGCTTCCTTCGTCAGTGAGAAGTTGTTTCGACCTTGGAGTACCAGGTGGCAATCTACCAGTCAAGAGTCTAACAAAATTTTCGACAGTTACCTAACCAAAGCAAAGTCGTAACTATGAAACTAAACAAAATAAATTTAAAAAATATATAAACCTCATATCCTCTGTAATCAACTTCCACATCATCCCCATAGACATTGATATGTTGATTCGCGTTATTGAAAACAGTAGCAGGTCTAGGATTACGTGGATTACAAGCCATGTCATCAGCTATCATTAAGATTATTTGGCTGTCGGGAATACCTAGCCTTTTGACACTGCGATAAATAGATAAAACATTGGCCACATGCCTGTAATTGAACCAAAATCTACTTGTATCTACCAATACGGCCCAATTGTTTGTGTGATTCTTTGAGTTCTATAAAATATTATTTTAAACAAAAATAAAATAACAGCAGAGATACCTACATTTCCAAAAATTACGCAACGAATTAACAATGCTGCGAATATAACTAAAACGCATTGAATTTTAATTGATCTCATAATAATACCCTGATGGATTTATTGTTTACATATTTAGTACTATAAATTGATTTTGAGGTTACGACCATAGAATAATATGGGGTTATAGCAGGTTTTCAAAAATATGTTGCATACTATACTTTTTGTACGACCGTTAGTTTTTGGGTACATTTTCGCAAAACAGGATTTGACATTCACTGACATGACCCTCAGAATTGATAAACGTCAAAATTAAAGCGTGCGAAATATTTCCGAAAACATCCGATTGCTCCCAAATCCGTGCGGTAAAATCCCGGAAATGGCCGAAGTGGCTCAGATTGGTGGGAAACGAAACTGACGTGGTAAAGTGACTCTTCCCGCACGCTAGATCGGTGTGTAATTAGGTATTTTACAGATGGGATTAGAAAAAGTTTCATTCCTTTAAGGAAGTCATAATGGATTGCATGTTAAGCAAACCAGACACAATACAAGGTGTCTACTAGCTGAATTGTAAGAAACTTGGCAAATAACATTATCCGCTATTTTTTTTTTCTGAATTTGTGCGTGTAAATCAGCGTAAAGTGTTTCTTTTCATAAACCTCTAGGTTTATGAAAAATATAAATAAAGTCAAAACCACGAAAGATGACTTTTAAAAGTGTAAATAAAACTATATGGGGTATTAAATATCTCAATGCCAAAATCTTAAGAGGAAAAAATGTTCAGTAAAACGTACTACACAAAGGGCTCATTGCTTCATCCCAAATATTTGCAGATAAAAATTTCGTCTCCCAAATATGATTATAGAAAATGCCAATGGACAATTTGCAAAATAAATTGGCGCTAAATATCATATAATTGCACAGAAATTAGTTTTAGAGAATATATAAATTAAAATGTCTCTTTTTGGTATTGGAATTGCATAAAGTTTAGCAACAACAAACATTAAAAAGTATCGTTTATTGTTTAAAAATTTTAAAAACCCTTAAAAAACAAAATTCCACCAAAATAAAGTAGCTTCGTGTTGCTCAAAAAAATTGCATTTTGTGGACCATGACAAAATTACTGGTTTAACAGTAATTATCCGCTAAAAGTGCATGCAGAAATACTTATAGAAATTGCATCTTGTCTACCAGGCTTTTTGCTTCATATTTAGTTAAGCAGAAAATTTTCCTTAAAATTAATAGTCTTCAATTATTACATAAGAAAACGGATAACTAGAAATTTTCATCAGTCAGTAGAGACTTAGTGGTGGTGTTTTTATAAACAAGTACTCTAGACAAAATAGATATCAAACTTGTTAATTGGCGCAACCATAATTCTTGTTGTCAAATAGTTAATTATCATTTCTTAAGTTATGTTCCCTGTTCACGTTCATTCTGTTAGCAAAATGTTAATATTTTCGACTCCAAAACAATTTTCAAGACCTTGAACTTATAATATATAATTTTAAATAAAATTTGGAATACTTCAAACGAGACTTGGTGATGACCCCCTTTTAATAATTCAATGGCTAGCAAGTAGGCGTCAACGTAAGAATAATAGACAGATTTTTTTTAATTTTAGATAGAATTTTTCATGAAAAATAAAACAGGCAGTTTTGTATAACCACAATTTTACTATTTTATATAATTTTCTGATTAAATAGAATATATACAGCAGTTGGGCAACATTGTGCATCTGGAAGTATTTGACGACCACAGTTAAAATTTGCCGTACTGCATATACGTAAACTGCAGGATTACCGCTTAAGGTAAGCCGAAATGATACGGTTACGGATACGGATAAGCAAAAGTTTTTAGGATCTATCTAGTTGAAACAAATATGATTGTTTACAATTGATCGCTATTTCAATCGTAATATCCAACTATACACTCTAATTTTTATGAGTCACAGTTTTAAATGGGAATAGATTAAAACTACCTATCCAAGAATTAAAAAAAACTGATATCATTTTTTAGTTTTGGGTTTGTAATGGACAGGGAAGTGGTCCAGAATAGATTTAGTAGTTTGGAATGTAGATTTTTTCACCAATTCATTGTATTTAGTGTGGATTAATTTCTCGAGTTGGTGTAGAACTTAGCCTTTTTATTAATACAGATATGATAACAATATTTTTCTTGGTTTCTTTCTGCCACATCATGTATATATAAAAAATATTTTATTCAAATTTTTGCCGCGCTTCCTTAAAAGGAAACGGAAACATTTTGCACTGGGAGAGAGGTCGTTGCGCGAGGTAAATGCGCCAAACTGACATTCTTTGGCATTTAACGTGTAGTGCCGAGTACCGGTTTTTGTAAGTGTTACATATTTTTCAAGTATTTTTTCTGTCTTTTAATATTATTCGAAGCGAATGTGGCAGAGTTGCGTACGCTTTTACTTCATCAATTTTATCAGGAGTATAGGAAGTGATTTGACAACTTGAAATTTACAATAAAAGGTAGGATAAAAGTTGTCCTTTGTTATCTTGATACTTTTCAACATATTAAAATGGAATCTTGCAAACACGTGGACTTGAAAGTGTAATACGTGTCTTTTTCTGATTTATCCCAGTATTACAGAATTTTATGCGTTTTTTTTTGTTTTAACAAAATATGATCGTGCATCTTCACTGGATTGTAAAACTTTATATAATTCCGGATGTACAATTCTAAAAGTTTATTGAAAAACTTCGTGCAGCGTTGTTATTTATAATAGTGGTCGCGAGATTGCGACATTCAAATCGAGCATATTTTCCGCTGTGGGCTCTATAAAATTCACGAAAGTTTTTTTTATACAACGTTGAAGGTTATTAACATTTTTATCCTACATAAATGTAGTTACCAAAAAATATTACTGGCAAAGCAGTCCGGAAACTAGGTTGCAACATTTTCATGTTCATATCAAATTATGTATTGGTCTTACCATTATTAATAAGTCAATTATAAAACTTAAATAAATGTAATATGGTTTAGCGATCATAATCGCTATAAAAGCTACTCACCGAAATTCAGTTCAGTGAGACGGCGAAATGCATTTTATTTTAATATATCCCTAAAGATTTTGCAACTTGAAAATGTGCATAATGCTTGATATCTAGAGATTTCAATTAGAATACATAGCAATGCGTTAAGCACTATATTTTTAATGTGTTTTCTTTTTTTTTTTTTAATTTGATATCAAAATTGGGTAATACACATTGCTCTGAACAACCAAAAAAATGAAATGGGAGAGCCTAATTAACTAAGTGTTTCAATGTAGCTTAAATTCTTAAGTAAATTATATCAAATTCTTTTAGAATAACATAACATGAACTCTTCTGGAGGAAGTGTGTGCTATAAATGCAACCAGCCTGGGCATTTCGCCCGTGAATGTGCACAACCAGGAGGAGGTCGCGATGCAGGTGGTAGAGGTGGCGGCGGTTATAATCGCAACCGCGACAAGTGTCATAAATGTAACAAAATTGGGCATTACGCTCGAGATTGCAAGGAGGAGCAGGCAAGATGTTATCGATGCTATGGAGAGGGGCACTTTGCTAAAGATTGCCACCAGAGCCCTGACATGCCTTCATGCTACAATTGCAGGAAGCCAGGTATTTTTCATTTCATAGTGTTTACTTGATTTGTGTACCAGTAACTTTAAAATTGTTGTAAGATGGGCCAATTTTTAGATATTTAAGATTGATTGATATAGATGTAGACTTTTTGAAATTTTTGGTACATATGGGAGTCTCTTTGAGATTTATAGAATTGCCTAAATTTAACATGGTATCTCTTTTAATTTTTCAAAGAAACTTCCACAGGCTACTGTAATAGTTTTTATAAAACTTCTGGATTCCTCCTGCGTCTTTTTTTGTTAAGTCGAACTAGCTAACGTTTCTTCAATCATCCTGTTGGCTTCTTCACAGCTTGACTGAAACTGGACTCTAAAACCCGGAACATTGTAAAAATATCAAGATCAGCATTGCCAGGGAGTGTTTAAATTGTACCTGTTAATTAATTCTTGGTAATTTTAATATTCTAAAACGTCCTTATATAAAAAAAAACAATTTTATGAAGTTGAAATGAGAAGTATTCTCAATTAATTGCTTTTTGTTTCAAGGTCATATCGCTCGCAGCTGCCCTGAAAGCGGCGGGGACCGCATGAACAACGACACATGTCACAATTGCCAGCGACCCGGTCATATTTCGAGGAACTGCCCTGAGAACACCAAGATGTGTTACCAGTGCCACAAACCGGGTCATCTCAAGCGAGACTGCCAGGAGAGCCAGGATTTCAGGAATTAGTAGTTATGGTGTTAATTCAGTTCCTTGACTGGTTAAAATGTTAATTTTTAGTAATGTAAATGATATATTAGTTCTTAATCCAGTGCATAGTGTTACAAAAATTATATGTACCATCAGTTTCACCGAAATTCATTAAATTATAGAAATTTGAGATAAGTCTAATAAATCTAATAGATACAGTCAACTTTGGCATCATTGCTAATAATTGACTTTTTGTGGTTTAATCTGGATATTAAAATATAGTGGTCACCTTGCAATTAAGAAGCTGTTGTCATTATAAAACTGCAAGAATTACATATACATTTAATATTAATCCAACTACATTTATTTGTAAGCTAACATAATGGCCTACCTTCCATGGGCCTAACTTAATGCTGCGCCTAGCTGAGATAAGACATTTATATTTTACATTGTTGCTAAAGTGTTGAACTCACCATAAAATTTAAAATTAAAAAATATTGTTTCATTTTACTAACTTTAAAAACAAGTACCTGTTAACTAAAAAAAAAAAAGCACCAAGGATGTATAATTTTATATAGCACTATATGTTGGATATTGGACTATATACATATAAGCTATGTACGATTTTATTTTATATAGATATTTTTATGTTGTACTTCTTAAAAGCGTAGCTATTATGCGGAAAGGTGTTTCAGGAGATACTATTAATTTTCAAATTATTTGAAACAAGCTTTAAACAAACATTCTCAGAGTCAAAAATTTGCCTCTCAAATTGGATGTGTCTTATGATTTTAACAAGCTCTCTTCATCATCAGAAGTATTCAGGTGACAGCTAAAAAAAAACTAATACATTTTCCATGTGTTTTCATATCTGCAGGAAGCGAAACTATATAACGTGTTCACCTATAGACACAGGCTTCTCAGCAATGTGGAAGTCTAGAAATATATAAAACATTCTTGGTTTCCAGTTTTCAAATATAAGAAAAATGATTTAATTTGAAGCTTACGAAATTTGTTTTAATTCTTTTTTTTTAAATATTCTGTACTATTTGTTTAATAGCCAGATAGGTCCCCTACCTTTCAAAGCATTTTAATTTTTTTATTTTGTGAAACGCAGATTCACTGTTTGGTACATGGAAAAATCAATTTTGACCAGCAAATCAATCAAAATCTAGAAAAGTTAGCCATTTATTCAAATTGCTGAGGATCCTGTAGACATCAATATACGTGTCGCTGATGATTACCACGAATGAAAAATCGAACATATTTGGCCCGTCCAATATCATTGCATTTCTTATGTTACAAGTACTGGTGTTTGGTAGATTAATTATTTTTGTAATTCCCATTGCGCATATAATTTTTATTGTTTGACAAAAAATAAAGGGAACTGAGTGGTTACGGAAGGATTAGGTTTAAAAACAAAAAACAAAGTGTTTTTTTGTTTTGTTAAAGCAAGGTAAATTTTGATAATTTTTTTGTTGATACATATTTTTTTCGCGAAACAAACTAAAAGCACTGTTGTAACTTTAGGAGTTATCAATGTTTTCAAGGAACACCAAGCTGCATTACATTTCTGTAAATTATTTTGTCGCAAGACGTTAAATCCTTATTGTTCCAAATGAAATGAAACATTGATATTATTTATTTATCTTAGAAGAGTATGTTTTTTCTTGATACCTTCGTTTATAACAAGAATGTTAGTGGTTTACGGATAATACAAAAAAAGATGCAAAATTCATAGAACTTGAGTTTTTGGTTATTTTCTTGTTCCTATTATGCCTTAAACATAGAAATATGTATTTATAAGCTGAAATATAAACAGGACGGTATTTTTTAATAAAGGTGGTGATATGATACGACCTTTATTATTTACCTTATGCAATATAATTTTAGTGCCTTATGAACAAACCTCATCTACAATCTACCTTTTGTAGTACTTGGTACTCCTCTTTAAAAAAATTATTAATAATCATAATATATTTGTTTTTTCCGTTTTTAAAACAAATAGAATAAGAATAATGAAAAAAGAATAAAATTCATTCATAATTAGTAATTTGAGTTTGATAGATCAACATTTAAATTAAGAAATATAATCAAAATTTTAATTTATTAAGAATATAAAAAATAAATTAAAAATATACTTGTTTCAAATTGACCCTTAAGACATTTTTTTTTATTAGATTTTAATCTTTGACAATAAAAGAGTTATCTGGCGCTGCTACGCTAAGGACAATATTTTGTAGGATTAAGTTCAAATAACTTCTAAACCAGTGCAAAAGTCTTGTATTTTCACATAATATCACATAGTGATCTTTTTAACATAAACTTTTATTGCCAAAAACGTAAAATTTTAGAGATTGGACATATGAACACAGTGTAATAACATTTAAAAAGTGTATTATAAACCCGGTTTATATTTATGATAAAAAAAGTGATTTACGAACAACAAAAATGAATATGATTTAACTAGGCTCCTTAGAAGCATTCACTTTTTCTTACTACTTAGATGCTTGGGGACGTTTGCCTTTAACTAAAACAGGTTTGTTTTTTATTGTACCCTTTCTACGTTTCGAACTCTGCAAAATAAATTATATGTTAAAGATATATGAGACTAAGATTAATAAAAAGTATAACACTCAAACATATAATACAATGAAAAGGAAATATTTTTTCACGGGGACATTTGACTTTAAAACGGATTTACCCTTTCTGTATTTCAAACACTGAAAAGCAAGGGGTTAAGGATATATAAAAAAATGATTAATAAAGGGGCTTTTTGACTTTCCATCCAAAATGGAAAAATTTGAGGTCAGAATTTTTTTAACATCTGATTGCAATAAAGTTTTTCATACAAGAAATAATTTAAAAAATGATTATTCATATGGAGTAGAGTCAAAGACGGTCAGATATTTCCAGTATGAAAGAGCTAAAGTCACTAAATACCATCAGACTAGAAAGTTAATAAATTACAAATTAATACCTTCTTCGAAACAAAGCTTGATGATTTTATGACTCTGTTTGCTACTGGTATTCTAGGCCGATTAAATTCATCTGGTTTTTTCACCCTACAAAATAAGACATTACCTCAGATCTATTGCAATTGCAATATAGATATGTATGTGGATGTTAGGAATTGCAAGAGCTACAGGGTCAGTTACATTCAAAAACAAATTATACAAATTATTACAAAATTCCTTTTCAGTTAAGTAAGGAAAACTATATAAACTAATCGACCCTGTATCCTTACATTGATAGATGATGATTATGATTAAATAACTGATAATAGCGCACTTTGATATTTAAGTTAATTTAATAACCAAATACACCAGTTGAAAATTAATTCATTCCCTTCCAACTACCTGTATATCCTAACAAGCCAGTGTTCAGTAGTATATGCCTCTTCCAAATAAGTTAGTTGAAAATCTTTATTGCCTATGACAGCATTCCTAGTTCTATCATAACCGCCTGGCGAACGATAATCTAATTTCAATTCTCCAAATCTATAGTAACTAAGTTTGTACATTAAACAATTTAAAAGTGTCGGGGATCCTTCAGCATCCACACGGAACTCTCCTTGCTCTGTGAAATAATCACTTTCCTGGAATGAATGCTCGTTTTATCTCATTTATATGTTTTCTTCACACTTACCCTAATATCTTTCGGATGTTCACCTTCAGCTATTCGAACCATCCAAAGGAATTTATTGATGTCATCGCCAGAATAGCCAATAACACCTCCAAAGATCACTAAAACATAATCTACATCCAAGGCAGTCATAATTTCATAAGCGGCACTTTCGTTTGAAGACATGGCCTTGCCAACTAGGGCAATATGGCTATTGTTCCATGTATTGTTGTCCACTAAGGTTGTACGATTTGCCATGCCCGCTATTTGATAACCATAATCCCACCTAGAAATTACAAATAAGGACAGTTACTTTATAAAATTAATTGGGATTATCATTTATCACATTGGACCTAGTTTCTTGCTTACCAACTCATCACTCTTGCATCATCCGCGGTATTCTGCGAAAGCCAAAAGTAAGCTTCCCTAAAATCGTCAAGGATCTGTCTGCTTCCATCACTGCCATAGGAAGCCAGCACAATGCTAGGACTTGAATAAGCATTACTAGTGACCCAGGTGCAATGGACAGCAAACAACATTAAAAGTAATAAAATGACAACAGTAGTGATACTTCTTATATTTGGGCCAATGCCGTCACTCTCTTTGGATTGTTCATGTTTGATTTTGGGAACTCTACCGGCCTAAAAACATATATTTTTAAATTACTAACAACTACATGACAAAAACTGCATCAACTTGCCTTGTCATACAATCGTTTGCTAGGAGTGGAATGTTCTTCCTCCTCACTCTCCGGCGGTCCAGCGCTATCGTCTTCTCGAAGGAATAACTCCAGTAGTCCAGAAAAAGCAATTCCACTAAGCATGCAGACGACAGGCGTCAACGTAAGCATAAGACGAACCATTACACCAGCAAAATACACAGCACTCAAAGCATACAAAACAACTAAAAAAATAATGCCATATTTAATCAAAAATCATCAAGTCTTTGACAAGCGCAAAAATTGATCAAAGTTAAATTGCTGGTTCAGTCTGTCCTACATTGTCTTTTATAATTTTATTAAATAAACACAAATTTTTTGGATTAGTTATTACTCTTAATGAAAACAGTAACACTTTCGTATTAATTTTTATAATTACAGAATCATGTTACTTAAAAACGAGGATGTATCAGTAATCTTAGATAATCCAGGTATACAAAAGAGGCAAAAATACTTACCAAAAACACGTTCGTCATTTATGTGCTTAATACAATACCACAATCCTGCTGGAAATGTTGGGATAAGAACATGTAAATCAAAGAAGAATGAAAACCACGTGGTCGGTTGGTGCTCAGACACTGAAGCTATGATGGGTATATGAATTTTTGCATAACCAGTATCCCAAAGGGAGTAAAATCTAAAAAATATTAATTATTTATGGTAACCTGGTAGGTTTCTTAATTAGATTATCTCAACACAATAAATATTTTAAAATTCCCTAAAAATATTGAGAAAAAAAGACATATTGAATTTTCCATTTTCCAAACGAATTTGGTATTCATTTTAAACCTTGAGGTAAACTGGAAGTCTCTTTGAGATTTAATAAAAAAATGTTTTGGTAATGTTCAATAAGGGTTTAGACTGTTTTAAGTCTATACTAGAAACAAGTACTTTTTCTAATGTAAAAACATACACCCTGTGTAAACAAAAATAAATACCTTCCACTCCATGGTGCAATATATCCAGCATATGTAAGCAACACCACTGTTAAAAATACGACCCCGGCTGCTATAAACCCACCAAATATCACCAAAGATTTAAATTCAGATTTAGACATTACTGTCTGTAAATATCTAAGGAATGAAACCGCAAATAACAACGCGAAAACACCTAAAAAGCATAGGGGTAATTGAGTATAAACGAATAACAGGAATAGTACCTGATGCAGCCATATGTTCGCTAGTACGTATTGGCTGAAATCCGACAAATGGTATTTGCATTGAATATATAAGGCCCAGTATATAAAATGTAGTATAACTTGTAAAGAGCCTGTTTGAAAATCTTCCCATGAGAAGAAGTACGAAAACATGTAATGGTATCAAGTTAATTATGAACACATATCCTCCCCATGCTGAAACCTACAAGTGCATTGCGTTTAGACATCACTGGATGGTTTACTATTATTCATTTCGAAAACTACTTACCATATAAAAGTAAGACAGAGATGCAGCCACAGCCCAAAAGACAGACCCAGTCTTTAAAGATTTTATCCATAGAAAATAGGTGAATTGTAGTGCAAATATGGCAATACCTTCATTATCATAACTGCCAGCTACTGACCGGCTGATGTATCCAGGTACAATAGCGATGAAGCAAGCAGCAAAGAGACCAGCACCCGCTGACCATAATTCTTTCGTTAAAAAGTATGTTGCTATGGACGTTAAACCACTTAAAAATTAAAACAAAACCTTGATAATTTAGAACAGTCAATTGTAAGCACATTTTTTGGGATGTACAATCGTTGCTAAAATATTACAGGGTTCCTACCACATCTGCCTTTGCAAATTCCATGCCTTTTTGAGTGGTTTCCTGACCTTTTGAATAGAAGAATTTTGTCACACAAATTCTGATAATTGATTTTTTTTTTCTTGAATCTAGCAGACTATTGGTAAAATAAATATTTGAGCAAATATAAAGGAGTTTTTAACTTATATTGAGAACATGTCAATATTGATACTCAAGTGCAAAACAAAATTTGATTTTGGAAGAAAATATGAATCAAATGTTTTCTTCTTTTTAGTATCAATTGATACGGTTGATGTAGTGATGTATAGTGATCCTTTAAATTAGATTTTTTGTGACTTTTCAAACAGTTAATTTAAGGTTGTTCTCTGAGGGGTTGACCTCCAAACCTCCTGAATTTACTGGGTTTTATGGGCTAGTAGGAACTCTCAGTGATAACAATAAAAATATATTGATATTACACTTGAGTGATGCCTTATCATTTTGTCAATAATGAGTTGATCAAATGGGTAATCTTATCTCTATTCTTTACAAACTGGGTTCAAAAACTTGGAGAAGTAAAAATTGATAAAAAAGTAAATTTTATATAATATACTTACCTAAAAATTGGAGCTAAGAAAACGCAAATATCACGAATATGAATATTTATGTGGAGCAAATGTAAAATATAATGTATGCTCCCCGATGTTATCATTAGCCCCGGGTACACTGTACCCCCTACAATTCTTCCTAAAGGATACCATGCTCTTTCATCAAACCAATTCAGAAAACTATAATACCCATGTTTTACCATATACGCTGTTGCCCTGTAGTTAAACCTGTAAGAAAAAAAATTAATTTTCAATTTATTTAGAAGAAAAACCAACCATACCATGGATCAAATTCGTGTATAATACTTTCAAAACGAATGACTGCAAAAAGACGAGATGCAAAGCCAGCAACCCATGCTAAAAGTAATACAAGAAAAATAATTAAACTGCTAATTCCGGTTTTGCTATTTATTTTTGTAGCAATCCCTTTTTTCGAACCGGCTTGCTGGCCCATTTTTGACATTCAAAAACATGACACGCACACAGAGGTTACAAAACCAGCCAGTCGGCTACGTGTGATTGGTAACGCGTGGAAAAATAATTTAAGCACGGACCACAAGTTTGTATATCCACTGCTTATCAAACGACATATGCAGCAAACGTGATGCAGACTTTAAATTTGTTGACACAGAAGTCGTTATTTTCATTTTTGCGTTTACGCAAATCGGAAGCTTTCCCATGATTTTTTCAGCAGAGGGTCTCTTATCCGTGGCAAACTGCAACTTTTAACACGTCGTCGTTTAAACCACCATAAGCCATGAACATTATTATTCTGTGATTAGCCATTCTTTCTTAAGAACTGTCACTTCCATTTTGTGTTGTGCTGTTTACGCGGCGTTTCGAGATATCGAAATTGCTGGTTTTAATTATTTTATAGCTGAACATTCACACAGAGTGCAAATTTCGGTATTGTTCATAATGAGTACCCGTGTTTTTGTGGGTGGTCTCACTTACAAAATCCGCGAACGCGATATCGAAAAATTTTTTCGCAAATATGGCCGAATTAGGGAAGTCTCGATGAAAAATGGCTATGCTTTTGTAGAGTTTGAAGATCATCGTGATGCTGAAGATGCGGTTTATGAAATGAACGGTAAGGAACTTATGGGAGATAGGGTTACTGTAGAAAGGGCACGCGGAACCCCGAGGGGTAGTGACCGTTGGCGCGACAGTAGGGATAGAGGAGGCTATGGAGGTCCACCAAGAGGCCGCGATAGGGATCGTGATCGTGATCGCGAGCCAAGGGGAAGAGAAAAATACGGACCTCCCACCCGCACAGAGTATAGAGTTGTAATAGAGAACCTATCGAGCCGTTGCAGTTGGCAGGATTTGAAAGATTATATGAGAAAAGCTGGTGAAGTAACTTACGCAGATGCTCATAAGCAAACTCCAAATGAAGGCGTGGTAGAGTTTGCCAGTTATAATGATATGAAGAATGCTATAGAAAAACTAGATGACACTGAAGTAAATGGCAGAAGAATTCGAGTCATTGAAGCTAGTAAGGCTGCCAAACGCAGTAGATCCCATTCCAGAAACAGATCCAGATCTCGTTCACAAAGTGGTAGACGGTCAAATTCACCCAAGAAATCAACTTCCAGGTCCCGTTCTAGATCAAGAAATGGACGTTCTAGGTCACGTTCCAAGGAAAATGATGACAACAGGTCAAAATCAAGATCTAGATCAAATGACAGAACCTAATTGTATTCTCAATATGAGATTTAATTGTGCCAAGTTGGCAAAAATTTGTATGCTTATTTTCTTAATTATTCCTGCTAGATATGTAAATGTTTAATCCTTTTTTTATTGGCTAATGTTTTGGTGGTCATATTATCATGATAGACATACAGTACAGTTTATTCACTTCATTTAAACAATCCAGTAGTAATGTTCTGCTTAGATATAGTTAGCCAAACTCTTCTCATATAGATTTGTTTTATTTGTCAAATTTGGGATTTGTAATAATAAAAATATGCTTCTTGACAGTGGCAGTTATACAATTTAAATTTTTAATGTTTGTGTAGGTGTTCATTCTCTATTCCATTAAAAAAATGAAGCCCGAGTTCCAAACCAGTTCCGAGCAAAGGTCACTATTCTTTTCCGTAAGGTTGTTCCCCATGTCAGTGAAGGACACATCATCTCAAATTCCCCTCCCAATGAAGAGAAAATTCTTTACAAAATGACAAATCCAATGTTGCCAGAGTCCAAAACTTAGAGACAAATGGGTAATTACCTTTTATTGTTTGTTTATTTTAAGTATTTTGACATTTCAATTTAATTTTTTTGTTGTAAAATTTACAAAAACTCTGGTTAGGGAAAATTGTTTTTAAGTATAAATCAAATAAGGGATTATGTAAGTTTTTTTTTCCTAATTTTATTATATTTTTGCTTTATTGTTCTTATAAATAATTGGGTGTGATTTTATCTTAATATGTAAAATATTCAAATATAATTTTGTTAATGGTGTGTCATGTTTTGAATGCAACATTGATATTGCGTGAAAACAAATTTATTGTTGTAAAACAACCATTGAGTTAGTTACCAATGTCATATGTGTATGTATAACTAAAAAATTACAGAAGTATAACAAATAAGTGAAATAAGTTATAGAAAAAAACCTGAAAACTATTATTTTATAGGTAACCCAGTGGTACTAATTTCCATTATCCGTTCTCAAGGCATTCCAATTTCCATGGGTTCCATTAGCATGTATTGATGCGAATTAAGAAGTGTGCTCTAATTCCATACATTTTCTCAAACTCCAAGAAACAATTTGACCCATTTTAGTCCACTCCCAGCAGCAGAAAGGAAATATGGCATTGGAAACCAGATGGCAGGAGATTCCTATTTGATCATCATTTCAACTGCACAAGAGTTGCAGTTGTAAAGGAGTGATTTGTGACATCATGGTACCATAGAAATGATTGGGAATTTGAAATAAGATAAAAGATCATTAAGAAAAGTAAAATATGATGACAAATAAAACCAACACTCCAGGTGTTTTTAATGGGGATTTTAATTTTACTTTTTCTAAATTAAGGGGCAATCAATGATTCCAGAGTAATAAATGTCATTTTATTCGCGCAATGGTTTTATTGCTTCAAATTTTAGATTTTTATTAAAATTTCAAATCTAGCGTGCATTAGGTGGTACAATTATCCTTTGATAGGTTCAGATAGATATAAGGTTCATTTTAAGAAAATGAAAGCAGATTCAAAAATTTTAATAACAGTTTGGGTTCCCTAACAATTTACAAAGATATTTTTTCTTTTTGAAAAATGTGGAAGGATATGTTTTGTATTGTTTTACCATCTTGATAACTGTTTATAAAATATTTTTATCATCAGCAAGTTCGTTGTGCTTTTAAAAATCATATGTGTTTAATAAGTCATATAATTTTTTTAAACATTTTTGTAGAAAATTGTTTTTCTAAATAAAAAGCTGGCGATGGAAATATGTTGTTGAGTGGTGGGTATCCCTATCTTTTTTTTTAACCCAATCTAATGTTAAATTAAACGCATTTTTAAAATTTTGCATAGGAAGAGATTAGAAAAAAAATTGGACTATACACAGGTTAGTGGTTGTGCAGTGCAGACAAAATCTGAAAGAAACTAGTTTTTTCTAAACCAAACCTCTTTATCCTGTAAAACTGATTGATTAGTATTCGGTTCTTTCATTAAACTGGCTGCACATAGGACAAACTGGTCTTTCCTGTAACGTATGAATTTTTTTAAAATGAAATCAGAATGTGGGGCAAAAAAAAGTTTATATTTAATATTCAGTCAATCAGTTATGAGGTCAAGTATTTGAGGAGTAATTTTTTAATTTCCATAAAGAACTTGGATATAAAAATAAATACCTTTATTATTACAATTATTGATGAACCTATACAACAGTAAAAGTGCAAATTTTTACAGTAAATGCCGGTTTTTCTTAGTTTTGAAACTTCTTCCTTGGTCATATCTAAGAAAAGTTACCTGTATTTATTTCTACAGGTTGATAAATTAATATTAAATTATAGTATAGGCAGTACAGTTTCCAAAAGTTGCCAAGAAAAAAGTTTGAAAACAATATACAGATCTAGAGCTTCACAAGCAATATGCGTTGTTTTTACAAATTACTACTTATTTTATACAATATCCTAAACACCAAATTTTTCCTGAGCAATGTTTTTACAACACGCTAACTGTTACAGTATCTACCCACCAAAGTCAAATCACAATAAACATTTAGAAATAATTCCAAACCTAGCTAACAGTTAAAAATTGGATTAAAAAAGTAGAAAATGAAGTTTTTCCTTCCCTGTACATAACTGGTATATGTATTTTTAATTGAAAATTCACCTAAAAATTGTACTATATACATATAATAATTGCTATATATCACTAATCAGTCTTTTTACTACAAAATTTAAGGTACATCCTATGTCATGAAGATGCAACGACAGGACATATAAATTTCTCGAATAATGGAAACTAACCAAAACAAAATTGTAAAGTATACATCAACAAATAAGTAGGCTATAGTGTTGTGACTGTCTCAATACCATTGAAATGTTTTTTTTTTACACCAATACTACATCAATTTATTTGCTTAAATTCTAAAAGGGACAAACTAATTTACTTTTAGGAAAACCATATTGCGTTTCCTTTTATTAGTAAATGAAATGTTTCTTTCCATAAGAACGAAAGAAATAACTCTTTGTGTGGCATGAAAATTTATTTAATTCCAATTGCGTGACTGTATTTCGCTTTTTTTGGTAAACGATATCTGATTAAGCCGATCTGAAGCTTTGAAAAAGTTAGAGAAATTATAATACATAAAAGGTTCCACAGGTCAATGTTGAAAGGAGAAAATAATGCAGTCACAAAGTAAACAGTAATGTCGTTTCTGGGAAAACACAATTTTAATTAAACCATAATGCCATAAACATTCCCGAATTATAATATTGATCGATAATTTGTAGGAAATTTAAAACTAATGTTTGGCACTGGGTGAACAAATATGCGTTACACGACAAAGCTAAGCATCTTTACAAGAAGCCTTACTGGCAAAGAGTGTTGATAAACTGTTTGTGAAAATAAAAATGTATTTCCATAACGGGTAATTCATGCTTTGGAGCGTGCAATTAAATCTCAATAGATAAGTGCTATTATACTGACTTCCGCGGTATATGACTAACAGCCAGAAATATACAAATTATCATTTTTGATTGGAGCGATCCCGTGGAATTTAACAGTCAAAAGGAAGCAGTAACCAATACAAACTAAAGTTTTACTTAAACAATTGAAACAATTATATATTTATATACCAGTTATGTAAACCATTGCGCTTTTAAGGATTGTATTGTCTTAACAAGGATCAAAAAGGATTATTAAATACAGTTTGCTGCATGCCAGGGTGCTTTGAATACGCTGAAAGAAACTGAAAGCATGCAGTACTCATTAAGCTAAGTAAAGGAAGAAATCTGACTTTGACCGCTAAAGCCATCCATTTTCTGAAATCTATAACGTTTCATATTTCCATATCATATTCGAATGAATACATTTCATCGCCTACTTCATCAGAATCCTCATTGCTGATAACTAGCCCAAGCTAAAATGTCCAGTTTTTAGTAACCCTTGTACAGGATATTATATTCATTATGTTTTTACGCATGCGGGATATACCTATTATCCTTGATTAGATTTAAATGGACGTCCCTGCATAGTGTTGTTTCTTGTGATTGACAGTCACTTGATTTTATTAAAAATATGTAGTTTTAGAATGGTTATTTAAAAAGAAAAACAATCTATCAACATTAACCTTTTTCAAAATATACTTTATGTTTATTTAAGCCCTTCAGTAGGTTTTCCTTAATCTTAAACAGTAAACAGTAAAAAAATCGCGGAACTGACAATTTTTGATTAGCCGGGAAAACTGTTATAAATACGTCCACGTTCGCCCACTCTTTAATGCCTAAAATGAGAGTAGAAAAAAGATGCACCCATAGGATTCTCAATTTTGATGATCACATTTTAAAATTCATCATTTTGAAACAATTTCTTCTAACGTATATATTATACATCCATAATATAAAATTTTGTTGTATTTTGTGTCGGGAATTTATGGTTTATATGATGGTGATTTTGCAATTTTTACGGAATTAACTAGAACCGACCCCACATTGCATTGCCAAAAAAGTGGAAAGGCAACTGGTTCAACATTCATATTTGTATACTTATATTTCTATCAGATCTTATGTGTTACTAAAATGGGGCAGTCACAATCATCTAAGAGTTCTAAATAAATTTTTTGTCCAAAACGGAATTTTTCTAATTTTATTCTTTTAAGTGCGACGAGTCCCTTCCTACCTGGAGGTAGGAAGATATTGCAAAATAAAAACTGTTGCAATTATTTAAAAATTGAGAACATATTTTTTCAATATTTTGTCATTAATTTCGTTGCAAGGTAATTATACCACAGCACAAAATGAATTTCATCATGTCTCCTGCTTACAACACTCGTCAAGAGGTGAGAAATTGAGCAATTTTAATTAAAATACTATAAAAACGTGGGGACAGGAGATGCTTTGCTTATAACATGAACTCTAATTTAGCCTCAGATTAAAATAATTATTTATATTTTTTTCATTAGACGTCTTTTGTCTCCTGAATTTTTTCGTATCTGCTGTTGGTGTTACTTGATGTAAAATGTTTTTTTTATAGTAAAAGGGTATTGTAATTTTTTTTACTGTTGATTTTTACAAGGAAATGAGATAGGACAAAAAGCCCAAAGACAAAAATTTGTTTACTCTCCGAAAAACATACAAAAAATTAAAATGTGGGCGTCATGCATTTTTTTATGAGGCGCGACAAATTTTATTTATTATTCTCATTCAATCTCTTATGTTGTTGTTTTTATTACAGTGTGTTAAAAATACATATACATAACTGCAAAAATGGTATATAACCATCTTAAAGAACTGAAAATATTTTCAATTTTTTTTACATCCTGTCATTGAACCTAAGTGAACTAACTCAGCATCATTCTAATGGTCAGGTGACACGTACTGATTTTTAGGCAACTTGATTTAATACAGTTTTTTTCGAAGTATCGTGGGAGGCGATAACAATTTTGAATTCCTATCTTGTCGGACACTCTGTTGTAAATGTTTTTATGTTCCTTCTCGTAAATTACCTTCCATAAAGAGCTACCAACTGATACAAGATCAGTATATCCATCACTTTAAGAGTGTGAATGAGGTTCAACCGGTAACAAATATGAAGCAGTCTGTGTAACCATGTTGTCTCCACATTGTGTGTAACCGTTATGGAACATATCGGGTATCTGCACTAAAGTCTCGGCCAATGTGTGCTCGTCTAGAAGCGAATCAAGCAAACCTTGCGTTTGACTAAGTTTTTCTAAAGATTTGACATCATTGTCGACGGCTGCTAGAGCCTTTTCTAGTTCTTCCGCTTCTTCTCGGGATGGTTCATATTCACCATTACGGTTAACTAAATAAAAATATTTTTTAAATGCTAATTCAATTAGCTAAGTGCTGAACAACTAACCATTAAAGAAATCGCTGAATTCATCCACTTGTATGGTGCTTAGGACATTGCTAATATCAGTCTCTTCAAGTAGATGGCCCTGAGTAACAAGGGCTTGTTCCAGTCCGTTTTCATTTAATGCTAGTACATGGTCAATTTGTAAATCTTCCTCAAGTTCTGGAGAATCAGCTTGAACCATTTCATTACTTAATTCTGAAAGAATATACAATTCTAAAACTGAACCTCGTATATGTTTAGAATTGATTACCCGATGATGAAAATGGCGTGTTATCCACTCCAGTATTACACAAAGACGAGTCCGATGATTTGGTGGATTTTTTCTTTTTCTTATTTCGTTTTTGTGGTCGTATCATCGCGGACGGTTTAACTTTTTTCCTAATTTTCTTTGGTTTAGCTTCTTGGTAGAGTCTATAATTGTCCTGTAATAATATGCAATTTGCAAAACTGTGGTGGAAATCATGTTTTCAACTTCAAAAGTTAAAAATTAGGTAAGGCAGTGAGATTCGATTAACCTGGTTTAAAGAAATATCATAATTGTCTAATTGTATATTTTAAAACGAAATCCAAATTAATGAAGATGTGACACAGATTAAAAAAAACTTTCAAAAGGGTAATTTGTTTGTTGGGTGATATTACCCCTGTCAAATAATGAGTTGCAGACAAGAATATGAAATTTTTCAATTTTTTTTTGCTTGCGCTAATATTTGTTAGGTTTAAGAGTGTTCCCGAGATAATCGAAGTTAAAAAGTAACTTTGTAAAAAGTGGTAAATGTGTCGCGCGTTCTGAAAGCATTTTCAAAAATTTGCGCCAAGTTGCAGACGTCATAAGGAATGGGTTTCCGTTAGACGATAATTTTTTAAGCGTGTATTGTGGAAGAATAAGCTGAAAATGTTGTTTTGTTTGACGAAAAGTTGATCATACACAGGGTGTATCAGACTGAGTAAATCAAACTACAGATAATTTATAGACTATGAGTCTGGGTTGTTTTGTTTTCATGATGCAGACACCATTCTTGAAATCATATTTGATTGAATCTCTTAATTTAGCATGGTCTATTTTGATAAAAAAATGTTAAGCTATTTTGAATTGTTAAGTTAATTTTGAAATTATGTTTGACTCCATATTAGTTTAGCCTATTCCTTTTAATTAAAAATAATTAAGCTATTTAGTTAATGAATGACACATTTTAGTTACAAGTTTCCCTTTTTAGCAATGCCGAGGCATATATTCTGGAACTAATTTCTGATATTTTGTCTGTTTGTATTAAAATTCTATAATTTATTTTCACAAAAAAGATGTTCTTATCATATCTTTCAACGGCCAACTGTTTTCAAGAAAAATGAGGTTAAACAAGTTACTGCAGTGACAATAAATTGTAGGGAATGGAGCTATGGTGACTTATTTAAAATAAATAAAAATAAAATTCAACAAGTCTACTTGCATCCACATCAAATTTTACTAAAATTAAAGACAATCAATTGATTTCGCTAAAAGGACATTGAAAACTAATTTTTCTGATCCATAAAATGCTATATACATTACATATTGGCAAAAAATGTTGTTAGGATAACAACATGGCGTACCACAGTGGTACAAAATTTAAAGAAAAACTTTAATCTCACCCTTTTCCTAGCATGTTCGGCACATAAAGGTAACTCATGGCTGATATCAAATACTGGCATCGAACACTGCGTGTTGTCTGCAAATTTGGCAGTACAATATTCAAACAATACCTGCCGTGTGTCAAGCATTATATGTAAAGAGCAAAGTCTTGCACAAGATAAAGCAGGTTTACTGCATTCTTCCACCTGCAATAAAAGTTATTTTAATGAATTTTTACCATATCATAATTTATGTGCCCTATATTACAATATATGTTGCTTTCATTGTACTTACTTCACAATACTTTGGCGCAATAAGGCCAGAATTATAACTGTTTTTATTTTTATGTGAAACTGCCCTTTTTGTTCTTTTTACAATCCAATCAGGCATCCGATTACGCTTTCCAATGTTACTTCTTTGAATCTGCTGTATATGCCTTAAGAATTCATGCCTTGTAATTTCAATACGTTCCTCCCGGGACCTATCCTCCAGTTTAAATTTCTACAAAAATAATTACAAAACCTAAAAAATGGTCATCTTTTGGGCAGCACACAAGCCATATATTTATTAATTTTTTAATTTAAAGTTAAATTTTAATATGCACCTCGAGGCTAACACTAAACCAGTGTTGTTGATAGTGGTTGATAATGTCTTTTTCACATTCTATCCTCTGCAAAGCTTCGTGATGTGTAGATCTAGTTTTTTCACTCTTAATTTTATGTTCTAGTACTAATGACGAATTGTGCGTTTTTGAATCACTTAAACCTAGAAAGAATATTTCTTGTTTCATTCATTAATGATCCCCACTCAGAAGTGGAATTGCTTATTTACAAAATATCAGCAATGTTTGCATAAATCACTTTCTGGAAACTTTGACAAACATACCTATAATACTGTGTACAGCTGATTTATCTCCACAATTTTGATCAACATCGGTAGTCACCTTGGTAGACAAATTGTTATTTGAATTTTTAATATAGCGTTGACTTTTAATAAATGGTTGGTCTCCATAGTTCCTAGCACTGTACAAATCCTTATTATCTAATTTGTTTACGAATTTATAACTAATATTGTGAAGAGGCGTATCATTTACAACGGACAGATCAACAGAGGGTGATGCAAAAACACCATTACACCTAAAATGTTTATTTATATGCCATTTAGATTAGGATATGTATTAAAGAATTTTGCTTGCCTTTGATTTCCTTTAATCCCTGAATTGAACATCTTAAGGTTTCCTTAATATGAATAAACATTTACAGGCATTTTATAATATATACATAAAACACAAATGGCAAGGTAGGAGAACTTTCAGTAATTGATTTTGTGAGGTGTAAAAACATAACAAAAACCGGAACCGGCAACGTAGCTCTGGATTTATGCTAAGGATTTAATTAAATTTGTCGTAATAATATAATCAGCTTATTAAATAAGTTTTCGTCTGACAGGTCATATAAGGTTATGCCTAGTCCTAGAATTCACAAAAAACTTCTTTAAAAAGCACTACAAGCATCAATTTATTTTAAGTTGTAGCTTTTTAACTAACAGAGTTTTAAAAAAATATGTTTGAACTGTTCTTTGTAAAATTTTTCAATAACTTTTCAATGTTTTTGTTTGACAAATGACATTGAACTATGGGTGTCCAACGACACATAAAGTCGCAAATTCCCCTAGAAACTTAGTAATATTTCTCAATGGTTCGTTGGCGGTATGTATTTATAATCCAGGATTATTTAATACGTCATAAGAACTACAAACTACAGAGGCCAGAAATGAAATTAAATAATGAAATTGTTCTGTAACAGAAATTTACGTATCAAGTGAAATTGATTACAATGTCTGTGCTCACTTTAGCATGGAGTTTAGAAGCTTGCTTGCAAATCAAAAGATTTCATAGTAGGGTGCGCTAGAACGTAGGAAATGACGCAGACCACTGTGCTGCTGGAAGAAAGATCTGTCACTCTAATGTACATAACTTTTGATAATATTTTAAATATGATTTAGATTAGAATATAATTATTGCGTCCTTTCAACATTAAAGAAAAACTCTTTATATAAGAATTTTTATTGGCATGTAGACTAAATAAAAACGCTTACAAAATACAAAATATATACACTACATAATTAGATTAGAATTAGATCGGCTCTAATTATAGGAACGTCAGCTGAATATGTTGTCTATAAAGTAGCAACATGCATGGCAGAGCTCGATTCGTTACCATAACCCACAAAACACCTTTTCTCGATTGCGGTTCTGACGTCACGGACGCAAACACGGTAGCGTGTTTGAAGGAATCCTTCTTAACAAATCCTAGAGGTTATTGTATTTGTGGTTGGGAACATTTAGCGGGAAGTGGTGCGAATCACGATCACGCTAATTCAGTTAGATGTGCCGGCCGTAAAACCCATACTTTTCGCGGGAATTACTAACATTTTGATTTTCTCAATTTCACGGATCCAATTGGTTGATACAATTTACAATACAAACACGGTTTCTTAAGTCAAAATGAAGCATTGCAGATTGTTGTTTCTGCCGGTTTCTAACGTGACGAGTCCAAACACAAGTTACTGTGGCAGGAGAACAAAAAAAAAACGCCTCAGGTGTGTTTATTTCAAAAATCTATATTGCCATCGGATCCTAACAAATTCTTGTGACAATAGGTGCCGCAGCTTATTCGTTACCTGCTACATTTCTGCTGATCTTGCGCTTTTCAAACGCTTTATATTTCGAATAGTTACCAAATAGTCACTAATAAAAATGGAGTTAGGTCTAGACACATCTACAAGGTGCTAATAGATTTTAACACTATACCGGCCGTTTAGAAATCCTAATTACGTACGGCGCTTGCCGAAACATTGTCCTGATACCTAACTACCGAATACCGTCAATGCTCAGTGATGTTGTTATAGCTGAGAGCCGGCATATTTTATTTTAAAGTAGGATATAATATTAGGGCTATTTGATTTCAATTGAAAAAACCGGTTTTATTTTTTCGATGGGGGGCAGGGGGGCGAAGTCGGGGGGGCTATCTCGGAAACGGTACGACCTGGGGGGTCGGGGTTCTCGCCATCGAATTCAGAAAAAAATCTCGAGGAGGAAGCGACCTCAAAAAATCGCTTTTGAGGAGGTAGCCCTTTTTCGGTTTTTCGAGGTTTTCGGAGTTATTTGAGGTCGGATCGGGGCGCGGACGGTATATTCGCGTAGAGGGGCCCGAGGCGCACCGGAACCCTCAAAAAGGACGCCCCTCAAAATTGAGGAGGTATTGAGGTTAGGGAGGGTCTCGTCTCCTATGGGACGGATCGAAAATTCGAGTACCTACGTCGACGCGCCTATACCCGGGCGTCGTTCTGAAGGCCCATGTCCTATACCCGTCTGTGGAGTTTTTTTTGAGGGCGCCTCCTCAAAGTTCAAAAAGTTTGCTATCTCCGAGGTTTACCGGCCGAATCGCTTCGAAACCGGCACGGGGGGGTTTCTCGGGTCGGAAACGCCGGATCCGCCCTCAAAAATCTCCTACCTCAAAAACTCAAAAATATGACCTTTTTCAATGTTGTCGTTGAACGCGTCGATTAAGGTCGCGTTAGGTCCGGCCGGGTTCGGATCGATACGGGAGGTGGTCGAAGGAACGGCCTTTCTTACGATACCCTCCTCCCCGATCTCCTCCCAAACGGGGGGCGACAAGGGGGGATCAAAAAAAAGGACCGCGTTTTTCACTTTCCCAAAATCGGAAATCGAAAATTCCGACCTCGGGGCGTGAGTGAGGTCGCGGAGGGGCGTCGAGCGCCGCCTTGCCCTACCTCCTCAAAAATTCCTCAATATTGAGGTAGCGTCGGATTTTTGAGTATTTGAGGTCGGGGGCGGACCCGACCCGGACGCCCCGAAAGCCCTATACTCAGGCCACGCGTCGAGCCCGAGATCGACAATTGGCGAATTTTTTTGTTGAGGTTTTGAGGAGGTCAAAGGTCAAAAAGTTTGCTATCTCCGAGACCGTCGTTCCGATCGGGACCCAACTCGGTAAAGTTCTGGAGGAGGTCGGGGGAGGAAGTACCCGACCTCCCTCCTCCTCCCTCCTCAAAAAAATTTTTGAAAATTTTTCGGCGGCGTCCCTTTCGAAAAATTCCCCCTCCCGCCCTATGGGACCGGGAGGGGCGCCGAATTTTTTTTAAGTAAAGGGAGGACGGGGCTTTCGCCTGACGCGGTCGGATCCGAGGTCGGTCCCATAGGGAGGGAGTGCCTCCCACAAAAAAAATGCTCAGTGATGTTGTTATAGCTGAGAGCCGGCATATTTTATTTTAAAGTAGGATATAATATTAGGGCTATTTGATTTCAATGCTACATATTTCTCAATTTTAGGTTTTTGTAGTATGATAAAATAGTTCACTCGGTTGCTAAGATGGATAGAAATATAGTTCTGTGCAGTGTTTCGATTAATAGATTTTAAAATATTTAATCTTAAAAAAAACAAGAAAAAAATACCAACAAAAATTATTTTTATTATATATTGATTTATTATTTAGATTTAATAATTTTTTTTTGTGTGATAATCCTCAAAACATTTTCCCATACATAAAGGAATTACACAATATGAGCACATGAAACAGGTTTCCTTCCTTTTTCCGTTTTTTTTGCAAACTCTGCAGCGCTTTTGAGGAAACTTCTTATTGCCTGAACTAGTAATTTTCACAATTTTATGTTGTCTCATGTCTGCAGAAAGTCTCATTGGTGCATCTTCGCGAGAAACTCTCTTGGATACATTTCCTGGACTCTCTGAATGAACATATCCTTTTTCAATCCAGTTTTGCGCAATATTTTTCAAAAAAGATGAAAATTTTATTTTTTTTCCTGGATTCAGAACCTTGAAGACAACAAATGAATTGAACAGTGCAGTATTTAATATGAACATAAAAGCCTTCTTTGTCCATTTCACAGTTTTTCTTATAATAGGATTATAAGCAAGGTATTGGTCTGCTATATCAACTCCCTTCATGTACTTATTATATTCCAAAATTGTTTCTGGTTTTTGTATCAGATCGCCAGTTTTTCGATTTATTTTCTGGGTTTGTATCATTCGAGCCTGGTGTATTGTTGAAATCATTCTTACAACTCTTTTATCTTTCCAAATATGTATTAGAATTTCACCTTTTCTACGGAAGTTGTGTTGTCCTTGTTTTAAAGTAATTTTTTTTAGATCGTGTGGTAGCCCGCGGTTCTCTCTTATAGTTCCACAAATTCTTATCTTTTTGTAGAGTAACTTCTGTGCTAACTGAACACTGTTGTAGTAATTGTCCATGTAAACATGGTGCCAAATATTTCCATAACCATCTAAAAGGTTTACGACCAGGTTTTGCAATGTTTCTCCATTGCCACTATATAATTTAAATTTGCATATATATCCAGTGTCGGATTCACACAACATTCTCACTAATAACCCATACTTTGTAATCTTTCCTGGGTTGTACACTCGGAAACTTACTCTACCTCTGCAAGGAATCATGGCTTCATCCAACGATAGATTTTGTTTTGGTTTATAGACTTTATCAAACTTCTCTATAAAGTATTGCATTATTGATTCTACTTTAACAAGTCGACTTGCGTCATCAGGGATTGCACTATTATCGCAAAAATGTAGTGATTGTAGTATTTGCCTGAATCTATTTCTAGTCATGATTTTACCAAAAATTGGTGTTTCCATGTACGGATCAGTAGTCCAATAATCGTTAACATTATTTTTTTTTACTTGTCCCATCAATATATTCAAAGCTAAAAATTTCTTGATTTCTGTTATCGTGGTATCTCGCCACTGCTTTGTGCTTTTTACACGTTTATATTTATGCATGTTTTGCATATAATATCTATTTGTCTCTGTTACTAATAATTGAAAAAAATCATCATCTATAAACAAATCCACCACGTCTGAAATATTTTCTGCATTTCTTGGGAACACTTTAACCCCAGAATTTCCCAAAAATGGGTTTACTGTAATATCGTTATCGATTTGGGACCAATTTGATGTTGAACAGTTCTGTTCGTTTTCCAATATCGTGTCTTCTGAATCGCTGCTTTCAGATTCACTTATAATTGGCAAAACATTTCTTTTTCTGCTACTTTCTGCTAAATCTGTATCGTCGCTGTTACATTCTTCATCATTTTCAAACTCAGATAATATATCGGCACATACCTCATTACATTTATTAATTAATTCAAAGTCGTCTTCTTCCATGATATCGCAGGGCAAACAATTAAATTAATATATAAATTACTTAATTAATCAGTCAATTCGTAAGTTAATTATTGCAGAACACAAGCTAACTCTTAAATTATCAGTTATAATGTGACATTTACTATGACAACAAAAAACGTACTACTACGTCAACGGCGCCTAGATTTACAACCAAAAATAACGTACCACTACGTCCACGGCACCTAGATTTGTCACAATTAATGACGTATTACTACGTCAACGGCTACAAGATTTTGGATGAAAAAAACGTATTAATACGTCAACGGGCACTAATGTGTTAATAATTCTAGACATTTAATTCCCATGTACGTAAGCATAAATATTTATACCTATAAAAACTGCAATAATAATTTCAACACCAAACAACTTTGAAAAAAGTTACACACCTATTTAGATATTCAACATTATTTCAAATTTACTTTTCGTGGCGTGAATGAGTTGCCTGTTCAGATAAATAACGATCGCTTGTTGGCTCAAGAGGGGACTATTTTAGCAATATTTATTATTGTTTTGTTTTATTTTTTGTAATTGCACTAATAGTAATGATGAATTTGTGTTAGACCTGCGTCATTTACTTCACAACTTAAAAAAAAAACGTCTTAACGACATTCCTTTATCTTATAGGACAAAAACTGTTTAATAAGTTAAATAGTTTTAGAAAACTAAGCATTACCTAGAAAGTAATAGGGATAGCTCATTTCACAATTGTTTATACTTAGGTCATTAATTAATTTTAATTAATTAATTAAGAGTTAATAGCACTTTAAGCATTCTGAAATGTATTTTGATCGTCAATTTATCCGAACTCGTACAGTACAGGTTCCTTGGTGGAGTTAATCGCATTCCTAAATTTACCTACTTGTATAATAGCCTAGCAGAATTTACGATAAACGTAATCAGATCCCCGTTTGCTGATGAAACAGTGCTTTGTTTACATTAGAATCCTATTGTTAAACATTTATAAAAAGTCGTTTCAACGATTAGTTGTTTCGGGTTACAAAATTTATTTTCTATCGAATATCATATAGATAATAGTTATTAAGCAAATAATCGATTCGACAGTTTATTACCTCCTAAAGGAAGGAAGACATGTCATCTGAAATTAACATGAAACATGTAGGTACTCTTGTCGAGACCCTTATTGAAGTTATGATACAATTTATCAACAATAAGTTTCATCTTGCGTATATATTAGCAAATTCATTTTCTTCATAATTAGATTATACGTTTTAAAGATTCGACATTTGGAATGGATTTGGATTTGAGTCAATAATCGATATTTCAAATTCAGATCAGTATTGTTTTGTACGGATTCATCGTACCATACAAATTTATTTTTATCAATAGACTATGGTTTTTTATGCGCGTGCCATCTCGCTTTCAACTTATATAATCCATTCATGTATTTAACAAATATGTAGTTTTGTGACGTTTGCGAAGCCTGCAATGAGATATACCGTTTTGTGACAATGTTTTGTTTTGTTGTTATTATGGGATGTTAATTTTAAATTTATGTTTTCACAATTACACGCGAATCTGTTTTCCTGGAATGTACTTGAGATTTTTAAACATTTAATAGTTTACAAAAAAAGTAAACCAGTGCCGTTCACAAATATTTTTTCTTATTTGGTATTCAAATAACGCATTTTTTTTTCAAAACTCTATGGAAAGGCAACATAAATTAAATCAGGCTTAGTTTCATAGGGACAGCTAATTGTCGCAAATTCTACAAAAATATATCATCGATATTTCCTTATTACACAAATCTCTTCTTTGAAAAGTTTAACACGTTGCGGCATTCGACAACCAACATAGCCGCTAACAATTCGGCAATAGGTTTGGATGTTGCATTTTTACGAAAATAGTAGTAGGCCCACTATATTATCTATATTCTTTTTAGGTACCATTTGAGATTCCTTTTTATTATTTTAGTCAACGATATGTTTATTTGTATTATGTATTTTTCTTGTCTTAAATAGAAAAATAAAATTGATCTTGCAGTGGAGTATACTGAAAAACAGTCTTCAAATAGGCACACGAGAAATAAATTTATTTAATCTCCATAACTATAATATTATTTTATATACTGCAGTAAATCAAGTATAAACAGCTAGTCAATATAAAATGATAGAAAACTTTCCACTTGTCAAACACTAGTCGATTTTTATTTGTCGTAAAAGCGTCCACTCTTGGAACAAAATATCGCTTTAGAAATTGAAGGCTTTAAGGTGCGATTTCAGTGCTGCGGCTGGCTGCTCATCGCGATTAAAGCGACGGCAGCCCGGGAAATGACGATAAAATTTGAATCAACGAAATACAAAAATGTCCTGTAATTTATGATTATGAAGACAAAAATTACAAAAAATTTGTTATTGAAGAAAATTGTTGGAAGAAGCTGGCTAAATAATTTAAAAAATAAGATTTGGATCATATTGTAAACAAATTTATACTATTTTAATGGTTACATTAAATTCGGCGAAATGACTTGTAAATTTTAATAGCGTAGTTATTAGTTGTTAGTTAATTTTTCTACCGCATACCTACCGGAATAACTACCCTTGCTCTCATATAAATTAAAATCCGATAAAAACTGTCTGTCGCCTGCCAGAAAACTGGCGGGAACGCTCCGAATTGTCTGCAAACTATCAGCGTCTTTCATGTGCGATATAAATTTCATTAGATCTTGTTAACCAGAGATTATTTCACAAGCGCTATTTAAACAGCAAACATTTTTTTGGTTCCTACGTCATACCTATATATTTTTATATTTTGAGTTTCCAATATTTGCTATGGACTTATTTATTCGAGAAATAATCTAGCTATAATAAAACAAGATTTGAATTAAGTACCTACATATGTTGTATAAATTATTTTTAATTTATGGTATATTTTTCTTTGGAAATCATTTTTTCTTGCTAGACGAAAAAGTTCATATACTCGTATCTGAAGCGAAATCCATCAGAATCTTGAAAACCTCAAATTTTGCATGATTTGCGTATTTTGTTCATTTGGGTTATATTCGTAATACGGAGATAAATTATTTTTTTCCAAGTATGCATAACTTGTGCAAAACAACAAGCGGAAAAAATTGAATCATCGCATACCTTTGGTTTTACAATTATATATGTATAAAACACTCTAAAAACCTGACAAAGTAAACTAAACGCATTTTCGGTGACTCTTCGAGCACGGATCAATCTATAATTAAAAATAGCTTTGGATTTTTCAGAATTTGCTCAAGTTTTATTAAAAGGCGTCATAATATTCTGGTGCAAACGAAAGGTTTTGTCACCAATAATTACGTATGGTAAAACTCTGTTTGAATTTGGCAATTTTTGATTAGAGGGAAAAAAGTTTTCATTAACCAATATATTTTAACAAAAGCAGACTTATTAGAAATTGCATTGACGCCTTCCTACATCCAAAGCAATAAATTAATAATTTGTATTAACCATTACAAGAAGAACTACGGAACAGTAATCCTTATAATTAAAATGGAAAGAAGTAGATTTTGCTGGTGCAAAAATTCTGATATATTTGCCGTTTATAGCTGCCACGCAGTTATGAAAATTCCAGTGATTCCAAAATTCTTCAGCATTCTCTTTTAAAACTTCTTTGGTTGGTGGCGACAAAAAAATAGGTATTAAAGTCTTGCGTATCGCAACCAGTGTTTTATTAATAATTATGCTGATATAGCTAGGTGAAATTCTAAAGGCAAATACAAGGGATTTGAACGTTTCACCAGTTGCCATAAACCTCCAGTCAATTAAAATGTATTATCATACATTTACAAAATCAAATTATCTATTTTTTGCATGATTTCGAGGGTAATCGAATATTTTGTGGTTCTTAGAATACCTCACTATTAATTTTTTCTTTGCCTATAATTGAAGACAAACCAATAAAATGGATGCTGTTTGGGCAACTTTAATTTTTAGACGAGGTAAAACATGAACGCAAATCCAAAAATATATTAGCATTAAAAAGTGACGATGACACAAAGATCTGCTACTGCTTCAAAGACTTCTGCTTCTAATTGCGATGAATCTACAAGAAATAGTGCCAATCTGGAAGTTGAATATATAGAAAGCTCAAACATCTCTCGTGAACAAGACACTTCAACGACAATTTTGAGTCCACAACGTCTAGATGATTCAGCGACTGAAAGAGAGTGCTCGACACCGGCACTAAATCGAAAGTTCAAATCTAGAACTATAAAAAGTGTATCAACAATTGCTTTTGAAGAGAGATCACAAAAAGGAATGAACATGTTGGAGGGTATTTATAACAGAAAAAAGATCGAGTATTGCCTTAACCGTCAAAAAGTTACCACTATCGTTAATAAATAAAGGCATTATTTGAAATTGAAGCAGTCCAGAACTCTCAATTATATACTGACACTTATAGCTCACAACCATCCCAACCACGTGCACCTAATATCCACCCAATCAAGTTTATTCTTCCAGAACCCCAATTGCATTCTTTGACTCACAACTCCCAACCACCACAATCACCTACACAAAATTCTGAAATACTCCATCAAAGTCAAAATACTCAAGTCACGACCCACTCAACCATCAAAAACATTTAATCAATGACGTCTTTTTAATCCCAACTCTTAATCACCTTCGGTACCACGATTAAATAATTATTTTCAGGTTTTTGATCCACAGTACGATGAGGATCAATGCGAGGATGAATACTAATTTAGAGTGATTATATTATTTCCGCAAAATATGTTGACCATGCAGGTCATAAGCATTTGTATTTTTTTATTTATTTTTTAAAAATAAAAAATTACTTGCATAATTATTTTTTTTTACCTTAATGTCGGGGCCAATTTTTCTTCGGATATGATGGGATATTTAACAAAATTTGGAAAAATCGGAACTGATCGGGATTCAATCGGAAAAATTCCCTAAACTTTTTTCATCTTCATTTAGATGATTATTTATTAATAAACAAAAATAACGTTCCTTGCGTCACCTTTTAAACATTTTATCTACTTTACACCATTTTCCAGATAACATTTGGTAAAATTCTTCTTCACCTTAATCTTCTTCAAATAAAACTAGTTATCAAATCGTCGTACTCCATAATTTTTAATAAACCCCGCGAAATTTAAAATGACAAAAATGCTAAAGTCCACAGTCAATTGCTGCCTAGAACTGCGTTCACTGAAAACATCTCAGCTGCCGCGGCCAGCGTCTCTAGAAGCGCAGCTCGAGCAGCACCACCGAAATTGCACCTTTAATCGTTGTTTCACCTAAATTTTCGTAATTTTACCGAATTGTGTATTACGCACTAATCTGTAGATTTATAAAATTCTTATATAAAAATGCGGCTGTGTGCTTAAATTTGCTGACGCCTCAACAAGTTAGCTGATACCACGACTGGGTAAAAAGCACGTGGTAACGAATAAAAAATTAAAAGAATTGACCCGTTTTGCGTCGGTCATCTCGCAGAGTTAGTTTACATAATACGCGAATTACGTGTGATATAAAAAATCTTAAGAAGGTACAAATGGTTTCGCTGACTTAGTATTATCTAAACGGCACAAGTTTTCGTCGTTTTCTGAGATGACTGTCTTCTGCTGAGCGCTGCGTCGTTGTGTGGCGGTTGAAGTAGCGGCACTGCTTTAATCATTTTATTCGACGGCGGTTGAATCCCGGAAGCGGAACTATCTACCCACTGCAAAAAAGAAACTTGCGTGACACATAAACTGAACAAACTTCGTCTCAATCTAAATCCACCTCAACTTTGAATTATTCATAATCAAAACAGATGGTTAGTGAATGTGTGGGTTGCAATAATGGGGCAATATTTCATTGGTCCTTACTTTTTTGAAGAATGGTACGAAAAAAGTTTTAAATAATTCCAAAGTCGGTCAATTTGGAAGAAATGGATTTTAAGCTTGATCTTGATTTAACGCCACCCATTTTAGTTTGTTATCTATGGTTTACAACATATCCCCGATAGCACCACATGATCCGAAGCAGCGAAACAGAGTAGCATTCGAAACCGTAACCCCGCGTATGTTGACAAATGTTGCTGAAGGTTTTAGATTTATTTCTAGAATATTTATATTTTTGTTAATAATTTAAGCTATTTTTTAAATCAGTTTACATAATGAACGAGTTTATTGTATGGAAAAACATGAAGAGTTGGCTATAGGTAATATTTGATAGACAGTTAAATTTTAATCATTTAAATTAAACGAGTGTTTGGTTTAGAGATGGTGTATATGGACACTTCATCATTTGGTAGCATTCAAATGGATACGACATTTTTGTAAATTTCAAGATATTTCATTGATCATGGAAACGAAAATTAGTATAGATTATTTATATATTCCATTCCCATAAAACACAACTTTGATAGGTTTGGCGTTAATATTCGGGTAGAATAGATTTACATTTTAATTGTCAGTTTTTTAAAATAAAAATGAGTGTTTTTAAGCATGAAAAACCATGCATACTCTACCCAAGACAAGTCTTGATTTTTAAAAGCAATTATCGAAATTACATAAAATAAAGTTATATTAGCACTAATAGAAAATACGATGACATATACAAATTATCAATAATTAACTAAATAAGTACATTTTTATTCAAAATCTAATTCTGTATCACTCTCAGAATCGTCATTAAGATTAATGTGTTGCACTGCATTTTTTCAGCCCTCAATAAGTTAAGTAATGATTAATTAAAACATTATCTGCCCTCAGATTTGAATAATCTGATTTTGACGAATTGTTGCCGATAAAATTGAAAATCACTTCGTCATTCAATTCACTCCATCATTCAATAATTCACTGTTACCAATATCCTTTATTGAGGATATTGGCGTTTTTGTAAGTAGGTTTTAAATCTTCTTGTTTAACGAATCCTGTACTTATTAAACATTAATATAATTTTTCACAAGTTGTTTTGTATCTAATGACAAGTGATTTCGACGGGACATAATGGAAAAGTTACTGATGGTCGTAAGAAGCTTTTTGGAAACAAAACAGGTTATTCAATACTGACACTGATATCAGACGACACGTGGTTGACATTTACCTGACTCGGCCCTGTCTTGGTACTTATCTATGAACAAATTTTTGATTGTTGTGTTTATCGATTGGGTAGGTTTTATTGATTTTTTGGGGAGGAGCCGTCAAAAGCCAAGACGATATACTTTCAGACACCGCATACCTGTACTCGTAGCATTTTTATTAATGCACTCAGTTCAGAACTTGAAATTGCAAAATATTTCAATTTGAATGATGCCTCTGGCATATGCTAGAATTAAAGAGTGATTGTTCAAAACAAGGTTATACCTTTAATGGTGTAGCTAATTTACCAGTAGCGCAAGTGGAAAATTCTAAACAACCTAATCAGTTGAACAATCATCTAACTAGCCAAAAAAGCATGGTCATCAATAAAAAAGGCAACGAACGAAATTAATCCAGAATCTAGAGAAATCATTTTGTTGCTTAACAAATTCATAGGAAGCGACCACGAAATTTCAGACGAACCATGATGCGCAAACTGCCCGCTGATGGATTCCTTTCAGCTCCTTATCAGCTCTCACAATAGGCCAAACATTTTATTATTCTTAGGATACTTAAGCCTTTTGTCGAAAAAGATTAGCATATACATAATTTTCTTTTGATGAACCGATACCCATTAACATATAAAGTGATCCATCCCAGGTCGGAAAACATATTTGGTGGTTTGCATATGTACAAGTGGGTATAGGTATAGAAAACAAAGCGATGACTGAACGGGAAATGTTCGGTGCTGTTCATAAGAAACCCGTACAAATCTTATGATTAGTTTTTGTATTATTTAAGCAGTTTGAAACTTTTGGGACTTTTGTTTTTTGGCATTTTAAAATGTTTAACTTTTAGACGTCTACCAACAATTGACACCATGCACACAAATTAAACGCCAAAAATATAAAAGAACTTACACCATCTCAAATTAGGTGTACTGGTTTTTAATGAACAGTACGGTACATAAAGCGCTATTTTTAAATTGTAGCTTTCTTGTAAGTTATGTTTTAAGTTTAAGTATTTGTACTTTCTCGTAACCCGTTACAGGTAGGTAAATGGTAAATGAAAATAATCAGAATTATATTAGATAGATCTCATCTTCGTAGGTAATATCTATACAAGGTGCTTCAAAATAATTGCGGAAAGTTTACCTTAGGTCAAAAGAACAATAAAATTGTTTGGTAATATAAAAACACCTTGTTCTGAAATGATTAGAGAAGATTGAATTAGACTACCGCTATTATGCTTCCCAAATAAAGTAACTTTTTTTTTTTCATGTGTTTTGATAAAACTAACGGTTTTGAAATAAAAAATTAAAACCTAAAACATTACTTGTCGAAAAAAGATTCGGTTAAAGTGAACATGATAAAAATATAAGTATTGCAAATTGAAAATCTTTATTATAAAAAAACAATGGTCAACTCAGATTAACTGAACATTAAGAGCAGACTAATTGAAAAAAATTAAACGGCAATATCTGGAAAACTATAAATATTCGAAATATACAACTTAATAGTATTGACAAATTTTTCAGGTATATCCCGATGTACCACTGATCTGGAAAATAATTTAGCTGGATTGCCCCCACCAACATTAGTATAATTAAAAATTTTCAAATTTTTGCTACTAAGAGTTTTCCCATAACAGCTCGGAGGGACATATGCGAAATCTGATGGTTGACGATTGGCCCAACCACATTTTATTTTGAAAAAGAAATCATCCCTTTAAGTTATCCGTGAGACATCCTGTATATCTGAATATTTATATAGTTATCGGAAAGACATAGTATTGGAATTAAGCAACACTTGATAATAACTTTGAAGTTCGAATATTAGTGTGTGGAGAAAACCTAAATCAAATTCATAATTTTAAAATTATATATAACAAACATAAACTATACTTACGGGTGGTGGTCTAGCTCTTCTTTTGCATCTTATTTTCGTCTTCAATAAACTCTTTATAGAATTTCTAAAGTTTCGAGACAGTATGCAATATATGATCGGATTTAATGCTGAATTTGCGTGTCCCAGAAGTAAGAGGTACGGGTTGATCGCAATAATTTGCTTTCTTTGTTCAACCGGCAAGACATTCGTATCCATAATGAGGTTTGCGATGTGATATGGCAGCCAACATATAGCGAATACGAACGCCAGAAGTAGAAGAATACAAGCTACCCTCTTTCTCGATCTCAATAAGCGATTCCTCTAAAAAAAACGAAGATTTTAGTGGAGCATTACTAAATAATATAATAACATAAATCAACAAATTTCATATTATCTGTGTGCGTGTGATTAATAGTCGACGGACTATTGACCTGTTTCTAAATAAACAGCCGTGGTTGTCAGTTGACACTTCTTAAATACTCAAACTTAATATGTATTGAGGAAATAAAACAGTATTTAATTCAAAATTACAAGCGGAGGGTACGTGGATTCGACCTCTAGCGTCTAGCCGGCAACCGCAGCATTGATCCCGAAAATGAACGTTTTCAATTATGTCTGGTTTTGGTTAGTTTTGATAATCGCCTTTGTGATGCCCAACCGTCGCGGAGTCGGTCCGCCGCAGAGGCGATTTATTTTTTTCAATTTGGTTAGTTTTGGTTTGACGACCGCATCTGGTTCATGTTCGGGATCAATGTTTCGGTTGCCGGCTAGACGCTAGAGGTTGAATCCGTTAATAATTGGCACTTATATTTTGACTTTAAAGTTTATTATTAGTTGCTTAGAATTTTTTAGTTGTTTGTTTAAAGCATTTATGCCTTCTTTTAATATAAATCATTTCTTTTATAGCGAATTTTTGATAATTGTTATCTTATATTCAAATTTCAGTTTCTTTAAAATTAAATTCATAGTTTGGTAAATTTTTATGTTTATGTAAAGCAGTTCATGGCTTTTTAGTATATTTATGTTACGATTTTACAAAAGTTGCCTTGTAATTCCAATATATTTTTTTGCGCCATTTAAACAAGGTATGGAATATACACCAATCGACTTTTTAACTGAAATCTCAATTTTTAGTGGAGTAAAAATTAATTTTATTAATATGTAAGATTTGTGGCAAACTGTGATATATGTAGATAGAATATGTTTTATTTTTTCATATAAAATATTGATATATGGTATTGCGACATATTTCTGATTATATGTATTCTTTTTTGATATGTCATTTTTATTATAAAACATGTAGGTTCGTTGGTTAAAAATTTTATTAATATAATTTTTAGGGAAACGATTTTCAATTTTAAATTTGTTTAATTTTTGATAAAATTTCTGTCCTATACTCTGGCGATGTTAGTTTTATAAACCAAGAATAACAGCACTTTTTTAAATTTTTTGGGTGATTAGAATTATAATTTTGTTTTGATATTATTATTAAAATTTCTTATTAAAGTTAAGTCAAACAAATTTATTTTTTTTAATTTCAATAGTAAATTGTAATTCAGAATCAAAATTATTAAAAGCATTGAGAATATCATTAACATGATTTTAACAGTCATCAACAAAACATTAAAAAAAATATATTAAAATATAATTTTTATAAAAATAATTTTTTTATTTTATAAAAATAATTTAAAAAACTGAGATTGAATGCAAGGTCTGAGTGGTATGTTAGGATTGTGTAATTTTGGAAGTTCGTATAATGTAGGTGCATTGTGCATTGGTTATAATTAGTTTTTTTGAATCTATATCCGTAACTTTATTTTTAATTAATAATTTTTTAATAACATTCGTTATTTTTAGTTTGATAAGATGTTGTTGGATTATTGAGTATTTCATTTATTTGTTAAGTTTATTTGTGTAAGTTTAATATGAAGTTTAGAAAGATTAATTTTTTGTTTTATGCTTTGTAATTACATTAACTATGTTTGCTTTAATTGATTTTTTTATTTTATTTGGTTTGTCTTGTATGACAGTTTCTATATTTGCAATATAGTCTGAAATAAATAATTTATTTTCATTTTTTTATAAGAAAGGAAAAATTATCACCAAGTGCTAGAATTTCAGAAACATCATTTGGTATTTTAATATTTGAAATGTTTTTTAAGCATTTATTTGAATTTTTAAATATGTTTTCTTGTGGCCTTTGTAGTAATAATTAAAAAAAATTATTTTGGTTGCTATGTTTAATGTTAATTTTTTTTTTTCATGTTTTAATTTTTCATATTGTAAAAAATTATTTTAAATAGTTCGAGGTAAAAAAGTCATTGTTTATTAAGTTTGATATTGTATTTGATTATTTATAGTTTTAGTTGTTTCGGTAATTAATAAATTTAGAATTTTTTATTTTGTATTATTTATTAAAAAATTGAATTTATCACGGTATATATTTGTAAAATTTTCTTCTTAAACAATGTTCGGTTTCACTTCCATATATTTCTCGAATATCATTGAAAAAGTCACTGTCGGTGGATTTGCAATATCTAACTCTTGCAATTTATTATTTCTCGAAAGTATCTACGCTTGTATAAAAATTTTATACTTCGGTAACGGTAGGTCCTATAGGATCGCGATTGATACAGAAATGATCAGCGTCGAAAAAAATTTTTTTTGTCTGTCCGTTCTCCGTTCTTGCCTTTTGGTTTTTACTGAATAACTTTCGAACCGTTAGAGATACAAAATTGAAATTGGCCTCCTTATTAACTCTCCACGAAATATATAAGCCTATAAGAAATGGTCTCGATCCGACTCCGGCATCCATCTTTTTTACGCTATGAAACACAATAAGTGTCCCAAATTCAAAGCAATCAACTTCATATTTGGCACATATATGCATCTTTGCCCCGTGACGGTACCTGTTGAAAATGGAGGGGCTGGGGGGTCGGGAAGTATTCTAAAAAAATAAAAAATCGCGTGCGCATTGGGATATGCCCGCATAGACAGCTAAAACTTTTGTATTTAAGGTTTTCACCTGTTGTACAGGATGTTCCCGATATTCGGTGCTAAATAAGAAGTAATTTTAAGTGTCCGAAGATATCAATTTAGAATTTAGCAGAGAAGTAAAGGTCCGTGTCCACATTCAAACAATAGAAATTTGGAGCAATCAAATTTTACCAAGTATTTTTTTAAAAATTTTTGATTTTTTTTTTGTAATTTTTTCTTCCAGAAAAATATGTTTTTCTCCATATTCGTTCACTCGATCGGCAAAATTCTTTAACCAGCAGACGCGGAAGATCCAGTGCAACAACATTTATTTCAGGCATTTTTCGATTATATACAGGGCTTTTAAGTTATAGGCGAAAATCTAAAAGACCTAGAAAATTGTTCTTTTACAGAGTAAATTATTAACCGCAAAGCAAAAATCGTAAAAAATATGGCTAATCGCTTCAAACAGTGTCATAGGCCGCATCAAGAGCTACAATGTTTGTATTTGCGGTTTTCGTCTACCACTCATTGCTCGAGATATTTGAAAAAATCCATATGAAAATCACTATTCACGTCAAGACGCGATGACGTCATTGATTATTACGGCGCACTGCATGGTTTTCGAAAAAACTTATTTTCTCGAAAACCGTTTACTATTTTAGAAAAATTTTCGCACCAGAAACGAGGAAGATCAAGGGCTATAACCTCCATTTCAAACAATTATTTCAAATATGTACAGGGTGTGACGATTATGGGTAAAAACATCTCTGGAGCTTTTTAAACTATTTTTGATTTTTGAAATACCCTTTTTTTATTCGTCTTTTTTAGAGACGAATCTATTCGATTGATCAAACAATTATGTTGTGTATTGGCCAAATATTTTGGAGTGAAGGGGGGCCTGCCTAGGCTGATATTAACGAATTTCTTACTTGACGAAATACTATTTTAAAACAAATTTTGAAGTGGTATTCGTCAAAAATTAATTGTCCGCCACACCGAATTATATCGGATGATTGATGTCAGTTCTAGAGTTTCGGCATAATCTGGGAAGCACCATTTAGTGTAAATTAATACTGCGTTGAATTTCCTTAATATTTACCCTTCTATCTCAAATTAGTAATTAATTATCGCAGTAATTAAATTTTCGATCCCAAAACAGACCAGCTGGTGATACTGGGTAATATGGAAAAAAATACATTTGTTTAGTTGTTTGTCGAGCACAATACGAAAGTTTCTTAGTATGATTCAAAAAGAATTTATAGCAATCACAAGACTATATGATTCTTGAATGACGGAAGAATCCTTACTTTATGTATTTTTGAGAGCGCTTTTGTAGAATTTTTGGTTTTGACGAAGGCATTAAATGAAGTGGTTTATAATACCCCGGATATTATTTTTTCGGACTGTCAGAACTTTTTATATTCGTATCAACTGAGCAAGGCAAGGTTCCCTAAATTATGTGTTATCAGAATTTTATAGTTACATGTACTTTAAATTAATCGGTTAGTTTTGTTTAGTTTAATTGGTTACATACATTTTACAGAAAAATATCTTGTCTATATTGTATCCTTTTGTATGAGACGTTGAAGTTTTTTTAATTTATTTTTTTTTAATTTGCTAATATTTTTGTGCACAGAAGTAATTATACATATTGTACGTATTTCCCTGGTTATCCTGATGACTCGGGTATATTTGACCAAGCGTAAAGTGAAGAAGTGTTTGTTGTAGTGATATTTGGTCTATTTAATTTATTTCGTCATTATTTAATTAATATATAGTATTGTGTACAACATCGTAAAATTCTGATTTTACTTTTTATTAACTGACATCAATAAGTGCTGGCCATTATTTTAAATAAAAATTTGTCAAATTACATTAAAAATTCGCGATATTAATCGGTGGTGGTGGAAAGCGGAAAGATCCACTTCATTCTCATCCTTCCATTCAAAACTACAGATTCGATTCGATATAATTTCTGATAGCCCCTTATGCAGTATCATCTATAGTTCTTTTGCCAGCAAAAAAAATTGGTCGCCTGTTGCACTAAAAGATCTTCAGAAGATGGTTTGTTCTTCGTTTCACTTTAGTTATGTCTTACTGAGCAAACGGCATTTTTTATGATACAACCAAATAAAAATTGCCCAACAAAAAAAATATTTCTGAAACCATTCAGTTTTTGTCATACGCAACACAGTTTTTTAAGGTTGACTTTGAGGTCAGCGTAAAAGCAGTACGCTCAAATACGAGGAGAAAATGACGGGTAATTTGTTGCTTTCAAAAAACACCCCCAAAAAACCAAGTGGAGAAGTGGTCTGACAGAGCTGACATGACGACTCGCGCTGTGATATCAAACTGTTTTTATTTATTTGTGCAGTCTATAGAGAAATAAATAGTGCCTTTATTTTCACAAATACAGTACGTTATTTCTTGGTATAAAAAAAACAAATAAAATATTCGCAAATGTGAACTCTTCCATACGACGAAAATATGTATTCCAAATACTGACAAAAAAAAATAGAAATAATAATTAAAAAGTAGCAAGATAGAACTACATCACGACCATAATATTTTAAAGCCTTTTTTAAGTTCACAATATTAGATTTAGACATATTCTGCTCGAATTTCGAATGCAGTTTTGCCACTGCTATTTGCAACAAATACGAATCAATGATTCTTTTGGGAGGCTTGTAATATGGTCCAGCGAATGTTATTTTTCAAGTTCTGGAATTTTTTATATCCATAACATGAGGAACGGATCGACAGACCACCATTTAATTTTTGAGAGGGCCCACTAATGACGGTTTGCGGTTGGGATATCGTGTTTCATTTTGGGACAACGAATAGCGTACCGAATTTATGAAGGAGGTCTTACAGCACGTAGGTACCTAGACATTCTTGAGGAAGTCATTCCAGAATTACTCGAAGATATTCCCTTAGTATTGATAATGATATATACCTTCAGCGAGATTATCCGAATTGTTACTATATAGGTTGATTCTATGCCTACGAATAACAAACTGGTTTCTATGACGGGACTTATTAATCCTACCCGGGATACTTTCAAAAATACTCTGAAGCACCTATTAGCACCAGGAATTAAAAATTAATGGATTAAGAAATGAATAAGCGATTACTAACACAAAAAATATGCGCGTTTTACGCTAGCCACTTTGCAAACTTCAACACAATCATAGAAAACATATATTTAACTCAACATTTGAATAAAGACCTTCGTACCTGTTGTGTACAAGTTGGCTCATTACTGTCAAACGGAGGCATGTTGGAACATAGAGTACGACCCATTAATGCATACGCCACAGTCATGATCAACCCTGAAAAAGAAAAAAATAGGCAACGTTAACGAAAAATAGCTCGGATGTCGCAATTTTGCCGGAACAAATTGGTTACAAATATTTGCCCACGATTGTGTGTCAGGGCAACCATTAATTAAACTCAAAATTGATGCAGTGTCAGTTTACAACGACATTTATTGTTTCATTTGTATTACACTAGGGAAGTTTTAAACGAATGGAAAACACCAGAACCATACATATAATTAAGATTATAAAATATTTAAATAAGTTTCAATAATTAAGAAAAGCATTACTCGATATAATCGATAAGATTTCCCATTGGACATAGCAAATAATAAAAAAAATTAAATATTAAAAATATAAAATGTAAAATAATGTGCAATTTTAAAATTTAATCAATATGAACAAGAGTTTCTACTTAAAATAATACAATAATTACGAAACTATTCAAACAGCTGCTTTCATTTCGTGAAGTTAAAACATATATTATGTCCCAAAAATTTAATCAACCCCGTCTGACAAATTTCTGAAGCTTTATATTATATAGCGGAGTTCTTTAGAAACTAATCCATTTTCGAATAACGGTCTAAATTTATAACCATATACAGAGACAGGTTGGGTCGAAATAGCACTACAAAGCGAGACAAAAATCATTAAATGACCGGAATATGTTTGCAGTTGCAGTTTTTGATTTAATTCAAGCAAAAATACGTAATTACCAGATATATTGCATTGTATTATATTTTTGTCTATAAAAACCCATTCATTATTCCTTCAACAGTTCGCTCTTACCCTAAAGTATTTTCAAGAGATCTAAATGACTTTAATTTAATGAGTACCAAGCACGTTGGAAAAAAAAGTCAATTTTAAACAAGTTTGACTTCGTTTAGCTATAAAATACTGTGGAGTTTGACGTCTTTTTTTTTCAATATCTCAAAATTTTAAAAATTGCTTTGTTAACTACTTGCCACACATACAAAATAAATTATTGCAAAACACCATATTCAAAATAAATGGTTCGAGGTAGCATTTTTAAGATTGCCAGGAATTTTCAATACTTCGGGAAGTGTTTTGGGTTAATTGTATAAGAAGGGTATGCTCCCTACAGACTTGCATGTTTATTTTGTAAGGAGTATTCAATTTACTAAATTAAATTCCACACCTATCTTGTTAGTTAAACTTGTTCTTAGTATGGAAACGTTTTTTCTCATTATCCATAAAATGGAAACGTCTATTAGTCGATATTGATTCGATTCGGGTTTTGATGAACAAAGGCTATAGATAATGTGGGTGGTGTATATGTATAACAATTTATTTGAATCATAAGTTATATTAAATATCAAAGGTCTAGGGAAAACAGAAAAATGAACATCCAAAAGATATTTTCCTATATTATAGGTTGTTTTAAATTTTACATCTGTGTCGAGTTGGGACTAAATGCGTTTGAAGATTGCCTGTTTTAAATATAAAATTATCCTTAATTAATTATCCATTTATTACAAACGAAATTGACCTTTTTCATTAAGATACCCTCGTACTGGAGTAAAAAAATTTATAAAATTTTAATGTTATCTTTTTATAATCGTGCTAGTGGTTCACTTAATTTTCATAGACTCCACCCCAAAGAGGTGAATCTCGCCAGCAAAATGTGAACTTAATAATGTAAAATTTGGTTATTTAATTAAGACCTTATTTATTTGCTTATCAATCTTTCATGTCTACGCAGGTTGATTTTTATTTTTCATTTAAATAATAATTTAAACTGAAATGATTAATATAACCTCGTATTTCATCTTTCGGGATTTTAAGATTAAAAGAAAGCGGGCGTTATACATAAAATAATTCTTGGCAGTTCACAAAAAATTTCTGAGAAGAGCGTATCATGAACCTACAAATGACAATAACGGTCGTATAAATCCTCGAAAGCGGAATTATACTGTAACCATAAAATATTTTATGGAGAAGTTAATGAATATTGACGTATAAAGTTGCGGTTAACGAGTATCCATTCTAGTGCGGAAATTCTGTTTAAACATTTTGCAGCATTTGATTTAAGCACACGGAACATGGATCTAATACAGTTTTAATTAAAAACAGATGAAACTTATTTAATTAGTTTTACAGTAAAATAAATATACGCTTTCGTTCCGATATGAATTAATTTTCTCTACTCATTTTGAATTTTCCATTTTTAGTGCAAGTGAGAAAAAAGTATTGCCTATGTGTGCCAAACAAGACGTCTTTCATCAAAGTCTAGTTCAACAATTAAAAGAAGATAGTTGTGGGCCTCTTAAACATAATTAATACTTATTATTAAGAAATTAGTGAAAACATGACTTGTGTGACCTTTTTCCTTAAGTGTTTGCACTTTGTATAAAATATGAATGAAGAATACGACAATTTATAGAAATCACTAAAAACAGTGTACAAAAATTAAGAGTACTTAATGAATTTCTAGTTTAGTTAAAGTTTAAATTTCATTGTTGTTTTAGACAAACCCAAACGATGTTTTTGTTTTAAAAAAGTAACAATACTCACCTGGAATCGCGAACATGAAAATAAACCATACAATTCCAAGAACGTCTTGGTTTATGGGAAAATCGGAAAACACGACGGTGCACATATATATGTCGATTGGAGTGCCCGGAAACAGCTTTTGCAATTCAACGTTCCATAAGTTCGGGCAAAACAACAACAGCGAAAACATCCAAAGTGCCAGTATAACTATAACTGTAGTTGTTTTCTTGAAGCAGCGGTATCTCAAACTAAACGGTCTTATTATTGCAAGATACCTGTCAATCGCCATCGCAGTTATAGTAAAAATGCTTGATGCAACAGCTATACCTAAAAATGGAAAGAGATATGAAACAGGCTCGTAGGATCTTCTAGGTGCTTATCTTGATCTTCAACCCCTTGTCCAATCAATATTAAAAAAAAAACGATTGATACGTGAGTCACTTCAAAATTCCAAACTAATGTAAACAAGACCTAGTCTTAAATTGTCCATTGTGACCAATAGTCTAGTGGTCATGCCTATAAAACTTATGAATCATTTGCGCACTTGAATGAAAGGGTTGCCTCGTGCAAATATCTGGTAAAAGATAGTCGGTGTGGCATGACTCTTATAGCTTAATTGAGTTTTCGAATCTTCTGTGTTAAAACTATATGGAAGCCAAGAAACACATTATTCATAAATCTGATCGAATAGTTTCTATTTTCGGTAACTTAACCCATTCTTACAATTTGTAAGACCTTTTTTTAGGTAGGAAGTTCGATTGAGGATATCGATCAATTTAATTGATGAATAAATTTTGCAACTGTTTTAGGGGGATATTGAGCCTACAATCAAATCACTATTTGTAGTATTTTGTCCTCTGTGAAAGATCTCTTTACAAGTACGAAAGCTCCCATAACGTTTTGCATCAAAATATTAATCTTTCTCACTACCAAACCATTCCCTTTTGCTAAATTCTTGTGGGTAAGTGATGATACCCAGATATTACTTATTCTAGAAATAAAAATTTCAGTTAAAATCCTTTTTTAGATAAAAGTGAAACTAACATATTTATTATTGGTTTTTAATGTTCTACACCTTTATTTTGAAATCGTATTTGCCACATATAATGTGCTGCGTTAGATACAGTTGTTGGGCTCCGACTGTATCGAATTGCAATTATTTTTTGCGCGGTTTGGAATTGTCTCCACAAAGTAATTGTCGTTTGCCTCGCCGGGCACGGCCATTGTTAGTCAGTGAAGCAATGGTGAATAATGGCATGTAGGTGGAAAGCGCACTCGTTCCGAGCCATTGACGAATCACATGGAAAAGTGTGTCCAAATATTCGCATTTTTCGACACAGAATAACAAAATATTTTTCTAATTTACTCACACTAAATCAAAGGGATTAAACCGAAGTATTTTGGGTGGGCATTGGGATGTGTTACGTAAAAGTCATTGGCGTACAAGAAAATTTTTAGTGTAGTGTTGCAAACGGTGTTTAATGCGTTTAATTTAGAAAAATCTAATGTATATATGGATTCTTAATTTTGAAATTGGTGTAACCAGTCTTCAAAAATTCTATGTTTTGTACAACTTACAATCGGTCGGTAAATGAAATTGCATAATCATCGATTATAAAAGTGGTTTGTAAGTCCAATTAACAGAGGTAGGCGGCTTAACAGATGGTTACCGATCAATAGTCTATTATGTCTCATTTGTTTTATTATCCTGCTCATTTAGGTTACTTATTCTATTTTTTTCTTAAAATGGATAACCTCATATTAGCATCAGATAGTGATATTGGTGAGAAAAAATGGTAAATCAATATTATTTTATAACAATTGAAAATATTTATTTTACTTAATTATAAATAAATTCACGCAGACATAAAGCTCACGAATATAAACAAAAGAATTATTTACAAGAAATAAACAAAATAAGGCGAAATAGGGGAAAAAAGTATTACACAACTAAAGAAAAATTCATTCCAGCAAAACAATTTGAATCTAAAAATTATAATTGCTCTAAGACATGTAGTGAACGTATTAATGAAACACAACGTAAAGACATTTTTGATGAGTTCTGGAATATAGATGATTTTAATAAGCAAAATGTGTTTCTATATGGTAGTATTTTATGAGATTTTGTCAATAGCCGCAGTGGAAACATATTAGTATGTAAGAAGTTTTTCATTAAACGCCTCCTTAAATTGCATGAGAATATTCCGAAAGACATGCGAAAGAGCTACTAACGAATACAGTGATAAACAGCTTTCCGTAATTTGAAAGTTACTATTCTCGATCACAAATATAAGAAAATTTTATACTTGCAAAAGTGCAAGGAAAATAACCTTTCACTGTTAAAGAATGGACATTTAGGAAAATCTTTAAACGAGATTTCAAGTTACACTTCCATTTGCCACGTAAAGATACCTGTGCGAAATGCGATTTCTTAAACATGAAAATTAAGACAACAACTGTTGACGAAGAAAAAAGCGATTCCTGTAAAAAGACATGATGATCACTTGCAAAATGCTCAATTAGCAAGAAAAAGATTACAAGAAGATTGAAATCTGGCATCAGAAAATCCTGATACATACTTTGCTTTCTCCTTGGATTTATTAAAAGTCTTCCCTTAGCCGAAATTATCTGTCTAAATCGCTTATTACAAGCCACAGATGTATGTTTTAAACGAGGACTTTCACAATTTTCAGGAAAATAAAGTTTATATGTATATGGCGATCAGGTCAATTGGTTATAAATATGTTGAGGTTGAGGTTTCTTCACAGTACACCATATACACCCAGAGTTTAAAACTATTAATTTATTAGGTACACGTCCTGGAAGACCGCTAAATTTTCAAAAAATCACCTTGGCGCCTATTTACGAAAAAGATAGACATGAAGCAGTTACTACCCTCCTCCGGCGCATTATACATATTTCGAAACATTGCCACATGCACTATCAGTATCTTGTAATTTTAACAATGTATTTAGTGTCTAAAATTAAATTTTATGTCTTGTCATGAGTATTTGTAAACAATATTTAATTAAATTGAAGTATATTTTATATTATTTTTTTAAATTTAAATTAAACGATTTTCACATTTGTCTAATTTTGAAAGTGGTGTAAGTTCATTTACAGCCGGCAGATATATATCTAATTTGCTGAAAACAAATACATATAATCAATGACGAGATATAAAGTACCCTTAAAGCTGTATTTGCGTTGAAATTACCTGGCATATTACTTCGAAAGTTGTACTGAAGTGAAATAGTTAAATAAGAACCAACGTTATTCAGATTTTCACATAAATATATTTAAATGACAGCTGTTTCGACAACACCGTGTCTTTATCAAATGCGAATATCAAACGGTACCGATGTTTGTTAGTACAAAACAGGTAGTAATTACTTAATGTGAGGTATTACATTGAGATTTAACAAGGGGGATCCATTCAAATCTAATAGATCCCAGAATTATGGAGCCTATAGATTAAATTGCGGATCATGTTCCAAGATTTATATTGGACAAACAGGTAGATCTTTCAAAAAACATATCAACGAACATCGACGATCATTTAAAAACAATAGTTCAGATTCTAATTACGCTATACATTTAAATTTAGAAAAACACAATTTTGACGACAATTTCGATATTTTACACACTGTGTCAAAAAGTAGATTATTAAATTTACTAGAAGCTATGGAGATTAATAAGATGAGAGGTTCGAATGTATTACTTAATGACCAACTGGATTTAAATGGATCCCCCTTGTTAAATCTCAATGTAATACCTCACATTAAGTATTGCCGAAACAGCTGTCATTTAAATATATTTATGTGAAAATCTGAACAACGTTTGTTCTTATTTAACCACTTTCAAAGTTTTGGAGACATCGAAATATGAGCTGCGTCATTAAACGTAGTCCACTAAAGTCAAACTTAAAAGTATGTATCTTGAATGGTTCTCAAGATATGCTGCATGTACACTTCGTCCAATGGTATAAGCGCAGATTTAACTGGATATCGTAAATATATTTGTTTTAATTTAATAACTTTAGAGAAAAACTGTGGGCTTTTTTTTGTATTTTACAACTGACGCTCAATGAGAGAACCGGGGATAGACTGCATATTATTTTTACTCACATTGTAGGTAGGCTGTTATCTTGCATGTAAGCGATCCAAATCCGTAATACTTGGTGTAAGCGTTCCAGGCAGCATTCGGCATACATATTAACGTCACTAGAAGGTCTGCGATCGAAAGATTCACCAAAAAATAATTTGTCACACTGAAACAAGAAGACATGATATCATTAAACGACACCTGCTTTGAACTTATTTAGAATCACTAATTTGGACCTAGATTAAGATAACAGAAACGAGCCAAACATTTCTGGTTGCAACCAGTCAAAAGGAGATTCAAGATATTCAGCTATCATCAAAATTTTATTTTATACGCAGAAACAGAATAATAATAATAATAATAATAATAATAATAATAATAATAATAATAATAATAATAATAAATTATAAACATCGTTGTCATAATCAAATTGAATGTATACGCAACAAAATACGTGAATTTTAGTTCGAACTTCTGATTCGAATTGGTTTAAAATTTGTATTACTGCGAACCAATTTTATCGAACCATCATATTCAATTTCATAAATTTCGCTCTTCTACAAGTAAATTGCATTTTTCGAATCACCCAGTAAGATTTTTAAAGCAACCTTTAAAGTTAAAACACTATAGAAATTTTTCTATTTTTATAATCCTTGAGAGTGCTGGGACGGACAATTGATGTTATTTTTATATTTGACATATTGACGTATAAAGAAAGCCCTTAAAGCCATAGAATTGTTTGAATTCCTTCTCATGGAGGAGCATCACTGCAATTTTGAAAGACGCTGTTGCAAAAACTATTATTAATATTATTATTATTATCAAAGCGATTATAATTGTCATCCATATAGCCACGGCACTCTTTGATATTATATAAAATACATATTACGTAATCACGTTGTGATATAAAAAATATGAAGTAGGCTTATACGTTTGAAAATTTGTCGTTGGTACTTTTGGTTTACATATAAGAAATCATACATGTTTTTTTATTTAGCTAAAGGTAAAGCGAATCAAGGTGTTATCAAGATTAATTGTACGCACACGCTGTCTAATTTGGCAAATTATTCAATTTGGAAGCAGCCCAGGTTGTTTACCTAATAGACTGAATCGAGGGGGTGGTATTTAACTAGCCCGCAGATTGTTCCAGAAACGTAGGCAATCAAATTTTCGCCCGCAGCTTCAAGATATCTCGGGATGGATTGTTCAATTTATCGACAACTTGGGACCTCCAGGATTAACAATGAACGCAGGTTCGTAGTTACTGGTTCAAGTAAAGATCTGCTTTAAAGTGTGTTTTATCATAAAATTTTAAAAAATGCTATTGATAAATTATTATTAAAACTTGTTCACCTAGTAGTTAAAAAAACAAAAATTCCTTGCAACGTTTTTCCTTGCAAAAGCTTTGCTCTAAGTTTTGCTCTAAGTATATTATACCTTGAATATATTTTGTACCTACTTTTGTTGAACGAACAGCCAGAAAAATGTAATATTATTGAACTTTAATATATCAACATATCAAGCGCAAGTTAAGTTGCTAAAATCATTACAAATCATTACGTCACTTCTCAGTAACTTCTAATATATTTAAAATATGCTCTGCGTTATGGCGAACATTTAATTAATAAGTTTACTTTTTCCTTCATTATAATTCATTTATCTCATTCATGATGATAACGAAACACAGTTTGATTATAGTATAGTTTTGGTTAGTTTTAAATTCCGTTACGCATATTTTTTAAAAAAGATTTTAAAGAATTCAAAGATTTATTGAAATCTCAATGAGTTACTGTATTAAATTATTCACTTCCACAAATTATGTAATTAATTAATGCCTTACCTCTATACTTCTGTGAGATTATATTATTCATTATATTAGATTAGATTATATTATTCATTCAAGGCACACTTTGTGAAATTTGTACATTTGTACATGTTTGAGATATCGATATTGATTAAATACAGTTTTTTACGCACAAAGAATGTTTCTCTCTCTAGTATGCAACGCATTAGTAAATATGTGTCGGGGTTGCTGACGAAGGACCACCCTGTTTCCAGGGACGAAATTGACGACAATTGGTGTGGATTCTAATAACTTTTTTTTTAAGAAACACTTAGAAACGAAGAAATCTTAATAACAAAATTCTGTGGCGGTTCGCTTTGTTCTTCTCGACTTTCTCGCCCTCGCTCCGTCTCGCTTCTTTCTTCCGACCGTCTCCGTTGACGTCTCTCAAAGCTCTCTCGCTTCTCGTCGCGCTAGCTTCGCACTGTGAGCCTTATTGCCCAGTCTTTGACAAAGTCCAACATGGCGCCCCGGCTGAAAAGTCTCTACTTTTCAAAAAAAAATAGAACGCGAAAATTGGGAGCGTGAAAATTAAAAATATTTTGCTAACACTTTGTCTCAGTTTTTTACAGGCAATAAACATACTCTTGCCACTGAGGGTTTTAAAATTGTACCATTCGGTAAGCGCACTGACAAAACTCTCACTATACCGTCCGAACTACCATGGACTTCAGTAACACGAGCCATAGGCCAGCGTAGTGAGGGTACGTTGTCTTCAACTAATACGACCAATGCACCAGGCTTTACGCTGTCAGCTGAATCCCTTTGCCATTTAGATCGTACTTGAAGATTGTCAAGATATTCCTTCGACCAACGTTGCCAAACCTGTTGGTACAATTACTGTAGTCTGTGATACCTCGACAATCGAGAATTTTTTTCATTTTTTACGTCCAATTGAGGAGGACTAACGAGTGAGTCGCCTATGAGGAAATGTGAGGGGTTAAAGATGTATATGTATAAACGTCATTGGAAATTGCGGTCAAGGGACGCGAATTTAAACATGACTCTATTTGCACTAGAAAGGTGTACATTTCGTCATAATATAAGGATGATTCATCTAATACACGTCTGAGATGAAACTTTGCATATATATATATATATATATATATATATATATATATATATATATATATATATATATATATATATATTCACGGATGGAGAAATGTGATGACACTATATTCCGGGATATCATCCGTTCGCTTGTTGAACTCCGACTGGAATCCTGCAGACGTTTCGCCAAAATCTCACTTGGCATCTTCAATGCTCGCGCTTCGAAAACAGTGTTATATATATATATATATATATATATATATATATATATATATATATATATATATATATATATATATATATATATATATATATATATATATATATATATATATATATATATATATATATATATATATATATATATATATATATATATAGTTTATATTTTGTTTTTTCTTAGACCTTCTCTATATTTATGTTTAGCTTTTGGTTCTTGGGTTATAGGTCTTTATATTAAAAGCGATTAAAATTTTTGTCCATATATTGACGTTTCGGTCTTCTATGACCTTCTTCAGAAAGGGATACAGTCTAAAATTATGTTATAGTACAGGTCTTTTTTTTAATATATATACATAAACCGAATTACAAAGAACCTTACCAAAAAGAGACAAACATAAATCTTAAAATTGTAGAGGTAGCATCATATGGAAGTTCTATACTTTAAAAGCGTTTGGTTTTGTCATAGTGCCTAGAAATATTATTAATGTTTTGGTTTTTTCCAACTATGAGAATAAAAAAATCATACCCTTGATAAAAGATAAAAGTCCAACAAAAAATGATTTGTATACGGCACACACACACATAATACACACAAAGTTAACGAAATAGGTAAAATATAATATATAAGGGTTTGGAAAAAATAATACCGATACGCGAGGTTTGCTCGCGTTGACGTTACTGTAAAAACATCGTACGATGCACGATTGTTTTGGTGCAAGGTTCAGAGGATATACAGAGTGTTTTAGTTCATTTATGTTTTTTTTTTCTTTTATTTATTTTTAATTATTTTTATATATTATAATTTTATATTAATATATTCTTATGTTGTATCTTTCCTTGTTGTTCCATTTCAGAATGTTGCAATATAACTTACTGAGATTGTTGGTGTCTGTTTTCGAATTTATAGAGTTCTTATTTTTTTGGATCTCAACCATTTCCAGAATTTCCCTTTTTTTGTATTATTTTCGGTTTTTAGAATTTTTGCTTTCCCAAAGTTGAAAGAATGCTTGGTTTACGCGCAATGACTCTTCAGGGCAGTCGTATTTTTTTTGTCGTATTTGTGACCATTAATTCTGTTTTTAAGGTACTGGCTTGTTTGACCGATGTACACACCCTCACAATCGTTGCAAGGTATCTCGTAAATGACGTGGCTCTTCTTTTCGTCCGGTATCTTGTCTTTTAATTTACTGAAAATGTTTTTTACCAAATTGTATCCTTTGTGAGCAATAGTAATGTGTGATTCATAAAAATTTTGCTAAAATTGAAATAAATAAAATTGAATTTTGTTTGTTTTGATCTGTTTTTTTTGGGTTTGTGTTAAACTTATTTTTGTAATTAGTTATTATATTGCAACATATAACACTCAAACTAGGGACGAGGTGCGATCGGAATGTTGCAATATAAGAACTAATTACAAAAATAAGTTTAACAAAAACCCAAAAAAAAACAGATCAAAACAAACAAAATTCAAAACTATGCGCTAAAATTAAAAAAACAAAACGTTTCCTGAAACAACATAAAGAACTCAAAATTTTGATACCAGATAAAACAAATAAAACAGTTATTATGACGGACGCTCAGTATGACAAAAAAATGCTAGATTTACTAAAAGACAATACCACCTACAGAGAAATGAAAAACAACCCAACAGCTATTTTTCAGAGAAAGAACAGCGACTTAGTGTCCTCCTGGGGAAAAAAGTTATACATTTCCCATAGCACAGTGCAAAGTTTAAAAATTGTTAATTCTCAGCCACCCAGAATTTATGGATTACCCAAGCTTCATAAGAAAATCCATCCCTCTAAGACCAATAGTATCATGTATCCAATCACCATTTGAAAAACTCTCAAAATTTTTAAATTACATCTTACAAAACGTTATACATAAAAATAGATACTATATTAAAGACTCTTTTGATTTCAAAAACAAAATTAAAAATATTTCTCTACCCAACGATTACATCCTAGTTTCATTAGATGTTGTTTCTCTATACACCAACATTCCAATAAATATTGCTAGGCAAGTAATCATCAAAAAATGGGATAACA